TGCAACATGAGATACTTGTGCAACATGAGATACTCGTGCAACATGAGATACTTGTGCAACATGAGATACTTGTGCAACATGAGATACTTGCGCAACATGAGATACTCGTGCAACATGAGATACTCGTGCAACATGAGATACTTGTGCAACATGAGATACTTGTGCAACATGAGATACTTGCGCAACATGAGATACTCGTGAAACTGGATACTGTGCAACATGAGAACTTGTGCACTAGATACTGTCAACATGGATACTTGTGCAACTGAGATACTTGTGCACTGAGAGACTTGCGCAACATAGATATACTAAGCAAATAGAGAAAACTTGTGCAAATGATGTACTTTGCCAAGATGTATATACTTGATTAACCATTAGAGAACTCTGCTACATGAGTTTTTTTGTAATCATGAGATTTTGCCAAAATTGATACTTGCAAAAGGCATTCCATAGTATACATGCTATATAATTTGGAGAGCACTTTTTCAACTGCATTTATACAAAAAATGCACATACCTAATATAGCATAGCTTTATAAGAGAGTGACTGCTCGAATGTTGCCTGCCAAGGTTTTGTAATAGCCTTAACTTATTGCTTTTGTTTGAAAGATCTACGAGGTATTGATGAGTAATTTGTGATGAATGAATGAAATGTAATCTAGTCTGGATGCAGTTTTTGATATATAGAATGGGTTTTATATATGCTTAATATAAAGCTGTTATATAATAGTATTGAGTTTTTTTTAACCCTCAATGAAAAATGTTAAATTTTCAGTCTGCTGATTATACATTACAGGACACACTCTTATATACTGAACATGTGATGTGATGGACTGAGCACATCACCTCCAGGCTGACCGACTGATTACCTTAAACTCCTCATCTTCCATTGTTCTTCTTTGTATTGGACTGAGAAAGCCATACTGGCAAAATATTTCCACCAAAAATAAAAAAAATAAATATACACGAATGAGATACTTGTGCAACATGAGATACTTGTGCAACATGAGATACTTGTGCAACATGAGATACTTGTGCAACATGAGATACTTGTGCAACATGAGATACTTGTGCAACATGAGATACTTGTGCAACATGAGATACTCGTGCAACATGAGATACTTGTGCAACATGAGATACTTGTGCAACATGAGATACTTGTGCAACATGAAATACTTGTGCAACATGAGATACTTGTGCAACATGAGATACTCGTGCAACATGAGATACTTGTGCAACATGAGATACTTGTGCAACATGAGATACTTGTGCAACATGAGATACTCGTGCAACATGAATACTTGTGCAACATGAGATACTTGTGCAACATGAGATACTGTGCAACATGAGATACTTGTGCAACATGAGATACTTGTGCAACATGAGATACTCGTGCAACATGAGATACTTGTGCAACATGAGATACTTGTGCAACATGAATACTTGTGCAACATGAGATACTTGTGCAACATGAGATACTTGTGCAACATGAGATACTTGTGCAACATGAGATACTCGTGCAACATGAGATACTTGTGCAACATGAGATACTTGTGCAACATGAGATACTTGTGCAACATGAGATACTTGTGCAACATGAGATACTTGTGCAACATGAGATACTTGTGCAACATGAGATACTTGTGCAACATGAGATACTTGTGCAACATGAGATACTTGTGCAAATGTTGCACAAATATATTCTTCTACACAGGTATGTGTGTTGTACTAGTGAGTATTTCCAGGGTATATATGGTTAGGTTAGGTAAGGTTCGTCAGGAAACAGGACAAGTGTTTCCTGACGCTTATCTTAGATGATGACTCGCTGTTGGAGCTTTTGGTCATCTGACTGAGGCCTTCCACTGGCTTACTGGTCCACCCCTTAAAAAATTATGGCCATAGTTACAACAAATTTTTATGCTGTATATATGGTGATACATATAATGACAAGAGTAAAGGAAGTGAATGTGTTCAGATATCTGGGAGTGAACTTACTGGCAGATGGTCTATGTTCAGATATCTGGGAGTGAACTTATCAGCAGATGGTCTATGTTCAGATATCTGGGAGTGAACTTATCAGCAGATGGTCTATGTTCAGATATCTGGGAGTGAACTTATCAGCAGATGGTCTATGTTCAGATATCTGGGAGTGAACTTATCAGCAGATGGTCTATGTTCAGATATCTGGGAGTGAACTTATCAGCAGATGGTCTATGTTCAGATATCTGGGAGTGAACTTATCAGCAGATGGTCTATGTTCAGATATCTGGGAGTGAACTTATCAGCAGATGGTCTATGTTCAGATATCTGGGAGTGAACTTATCAGCAGATGGTCTATGAAAAATGAGGTAAACCATAGAACTGATGAGGGGAAAAAGGTGAGTGGTGTGTTGAGGAGTCTGCGGAGATGATGATTATTATCCATGGAAGCAAAGAGATGTATGAGAGCTGACCCCTGGAACACTCTCCAGGAATACTAATAGCACTATTACCACTACTAGCACTATTACCCCTACTACTAGCACTATTACCACTAGCACTATTACCACTACTACTAGCACTATTACCCCTACTACTAGCACTATTACCACTACTACTAGCACTATTACCACTACTACTAGCACTATTACCCCTACTACTAGCACTATTACCACTACTACTAGCACTATTACCACTAGCACTATTACCACTACTACTAGCACTATTACCCCTACTACTAGCACTATTACCACTAGCACTATTACCACTACTACTAGCACTATTACCCCTACTACTAGCACTATTACCACTACTAGCACTATTACCCCTACTACTAGCACTATTACCACTAGCACTATTACCACTACTAGCACTATTACCACTACTACTACCACTACTACTAGCACTATTACCCCTACTACTAGCACTATTACCACTACTACTAGCACTATAACCCCTACTACTAGCACTATTACCACTACTACTAGCACTATTACCCCTACTACTAGCACTATTACCTCTACTACTAGCTTTATTATCACTACTAGCACTGTTACCACTACTAGCACTATTACCACCACTAGCACTATTACCACTAGCACTATTATCACTACTAGCACTATTACCACTACTAGCACTATTACCACTAGCATTATTACCACCACTGGCACTATTACCACTAGCACTATTATCACTACTAGCACTATTACCACTAGCACTATTACCACTAGCACTATTACTACTAGCACTATTATCACTACTAGCACTATTACCACTACTAGCACTATTACCACTAGCACTATTACCACTAGCACTATTATCACTACTAGCACTATTACCACTACTAGCACTATTACCACTAGCACTATTACCACTACTAGCACTATTACCACTAGCACTATTACCACTAGCACTATTACCACTAGCACTACTACCACTACTACTAGCACTATTACCACTACTAGCACTATTACCACTAGCACTATTACCACTACTAGCACTATTACCACTACTAGCACTATTACCACTACTACTAGCACTATTACCACTAGCACTATTACCACCACTAGCACTATTACCACTAGCACTTTTATCACTACTAGCACTAATACCACTACTAGCACTATTACCACTACTAGCACTATTACCACTAGCACTATTACCACTACTACTAGCACTATTACCACTACTAGCACTATTACCACTACTAGCACTATTACTTCTAGCACTATTACCATCACTACTAGCACTATTACTACTAGCACTACCCCTACTAGCATTACCCCTACTACTGGCACTATTACCCCTACTATTAGCACTATTACCACTAGCACTATTACCACTACTACTAGCACTATTACCACTACTAGCACTACCACTAGCACTATTACCACTACTAGCACTATTACCACCACTACTAGCACTATTACTACTAGCACTACCCCTACTACTAGCACTGTTACCACTATTAGCACTATTACCACTAGCACTACCACTACTAGCACTATTACCCTTACAACTAGCATTACCACTACCAGCACTACCACTATTACCACCACTACTAGCACTATTACCACTAAAAGCACTATTACCCCTATTACTAGTAGCACTATTACTATTGCTACTAGCACTATTACTATTGCTACTAGCACTATTACTACTAGCACTATATTACTAGCAATATTGCTACTAGCACTATTACTATTGCTACTAGCACTATTACTATTGCTACTAGCACTATTACTATTGCTACTAGCACTATTACTACTAGCACTATTACTATTGCTACTAGCACTATTACTACTAGCACTATTACTATTGCTACTAGCACTATTACTATTGCTACTAGCACTATTACTACTAGCACTATTACTATTGCTACTAGCACTATTACTACTAGCACTATATTACTAGCAATATTGCTACTAGCACTGTACCAGCACTATTACTACTTTCCTTCTGATATATATATATTATATATATATATATATATATATTATATATATATATATATATATTATATATATTTATATATATATATATATATATATTATATATATATATATATTATATATATATATATATATAATATTATATATATATATTATATTGTGTTTTTATGACAAATTTTATATTAACATCAAAATTAAATATATCTATTAAATAAAATATTATAAAATAATATTTAATTTAGGTAGAAATTAATATATAATAAAAATTGGTAGAAATGCAAGTCTGTAAAATTTAGTGAATTTTTATTTGAAGAGTAAAATTAGTAATTTTTATTATGCAAATATATTCTAAAATAATATTTTCCATCATGAAAATAAATATATAACAAAAAAGTTATATATAAATAAATATAGAAATGCAAATCTAAAATTTAATAAATTTTAATAATTTGAAAAATAAATATTTTTATTATAGAAAATATTTAAAACTAACAATTTCTATCAAATAAATAATAAAAAATTAGTTATAATAAGATAAAAGTAGAAATACGAGTGTTGAAAATTTAGTGAGTGAAAGTAAGTGAAGGAGTGCGGACGCTGCCGTCACTCTCTCTCATATATTACTCCATATGTTACACTTTTATTGAAGGTACATGCTGTGGAACATAGCTACAAGATGGGCAAGAAGAAGGGACATAAGGCGGAGACGTAAGTTCCATAAATAAGGTGAAATAAGGCGAGATAAAGAGAGAAAGAAGGGAACACGTTGGTCATCACTGGTAACTTTATATTCGTGGTGTTGCTCCTATTTTCCTTCTTATTTTACTGCTTTGAGGTACATACTGTGGTACGTAGCGACCGGATTTGCAAGGAGGTACATAAGGCGGAGGTTAAATAAGGGAGATAGGAGCAACGGAGAAAAATGTCCATTGGAAAATTTTAGCCGTATTTTGATCCTATTTTTTCCCTCCGTATGTTAATGTTATGATGTAATTAGGTACTGTGGTACCTAGCTACCAGGTGGATAAGAAGGTACATGAGACGGAGTCAGGTATAAGAGGGAATATAGACTAAGTAGATAGGTACATTAAACCCAGTGGAAATTAGTTACTATTTTCCTCAGTATGTTACTTCTGTAATAAGGTACTGCAGAACATGGTTGCCAGATGGAACATAAGACCTAGACATGACTTAATTAGGTATAAGATGAAATATAGACCAGTAGAGGAGCATATTGAACATAGTGGAAATTAGTTACGTTTCTATTTTCCTCAGTATGTTACTGCTATAATAAAGGTACCTACTGTGTAACATGGTTACCAAGTAGGATATGACACTTAGACATGAATTAATTAGGTATAAGAAATGTAGATAGGTACACTAAACTCTTAGTGGAATTTAGTTATGTTCGTAATTTCCTCAGTATGTCACTGCTATAATAAAGGTACCTACTGTGGAACATAGCTATGAAGGAGATAAATAAATTGGAGATGTCGGTTAATTACGAAGGAAATAAAGTGGCCACCAAGGCAGGGTGCCCACCAAGGCAGGGTGGTCACCAAGGCAGGGTGGCCACCAAGGCAGTTCCCACCAAGGCAGTGCCCACCAAGCAGGGTGGTCACCAAGGCAGGGTGGTCACCAAGCAGTGCCAAGGAGGTGGCCACCAAGGCAGGGTGTCCCACCAAGGCAGGTGCCCACCAAGGCAGTGCACCAAGGCAAGGTGGCCCACCAAGGCAGGGTGCCCACCAAGGCAGGGTGGTCACCAAGGCAGGGTGGTCACCAAGGCAGGGTGGCCCACCAAGGCAGGGTGGCCCACCAAGGCAGGGTGGTCACCAAGGCAGGGTGGCCCACCAAGGCAGGGTGGCCCACCAAGGCAGGGTGGCCACCAAGGCAGGGTGGTCACCAAGGCAGGGTGGCCCACCAAGGCAGGGTGGCCACCAAGGCAGGGTGGCCCACCAAGGCAGGGTGGTCACCAAGGCAGGGTGGCCACCAAGGCAGGGTGGTCACCAAGGCAGGGTGGCCCACCAAGGCAGGGTGCCCACCAAGGCAGGGCAGCCCACCAAGGCAGGGTGTCCACCAAGGCAGGGTGGCCCGAAAAAGAAAAACTTTCACCATCATTCGCTCCATCACTGTCTTGCCAGAAGGGTGCTTTACACTACAGTTTTTAAACTGCAACATTAACACCCCTCCTTCAGAGTGCAGGCACTGTACTTCCCATCTCCAGGACTCAAGTCCGGCCTGCCGGTTTCCCTGAATCCCTTCATAAATGTTACTTTGCTCACACTCCAACAGCATCGTCAAGTATTAAAAACCATTTGTCTCCATTCACTCCTATCAAACACGCTCACGCATGCCTGCTGGAAGTCCAAGCCCCTCGCACACAAAACCTCCTTTACCCCCTCCCTCCAACCTTTCCTAGGCCGACCCCTACCCCGCCTTCCTTCCACTACAAAGTTCATTTTAGTTCATTTTAGCATGATATATGTTTGTACAAAGGAGTATAATAATTTGGTGAACATGCCAAAAGCACCTTTATAAGCAGAACATTTTGGGCAAACTTAAGACTAACTTAAGATTAATAAGGCAATTATAGTGCAGTAATTTTACATACGGTCATTAGGTGAGTTGCAATGAATACAAGAAAATTGAATATTCAACTATTTCATGCTATGTAACTTTAGTAGTTCAATAGAAAATAACTACAGTTTTGATATATAAAAAATACAGTATTACAGTTTAGCACAATTTAAACTGTCCAAACACGGATCTACGTTCACTCGCGTAACGCTCCTGAGTGTAGATCTATGTTTTATTTTACGTGCTTTCAAATGTTAAAAAAAATGTAGATAAACGTTCAGAGCGCTACACAAGTGAATGTAGATCTACGTTTGGACAGTTTAACCCGTAAACGGTCCAAGCAGATCTACGTTCACATGTGTAGTGCTACAAAAGTAGATCTAAGTTTTTTTTACATATTTTCAAATATAACAAAAAAAAAGTAGATCAAAGTTTTTTTACACATTTTCAAATGTAGAAAAACAAAAAGATCTACTTTTTTTACATACTTTCAAATGTTGAAAAAACGTAATATACGTTTGGACTGTTTACGGGTTAAGGGTTAAAACAATGAAACTGAAACAGTTTTAAGTTTGAAGTAAATGATCAAACTATTGTCTTATCTAGAAAGTTCCTGGTTATGCAGAACATTTCGAGCAGCCTAAGTTAATTCTGTGTGATAAATGGTTTGAAAACCGAAAAGTTGAAGACTGAGACACTTGTGCAACATATGAAAATCGTTATTAAGGAAATGTTTCCCCACACAGTGGCTTCATCAGTCCAATACAAAGTAGAGAGGGGCGTCTCAATCTTCAACTTGTCGGTTTTCAAACCATTTATCACATCTGTCAGACACTGCAACATCATGGGAACTTAATACAAGGAATTCTTAAATACTAGTCCAACCTTTGGACGAAGACCTACTTACACTAGTGGATGGTACCACTGTGATCCCACTGCCTCCTACTTCCACTTATCTGACTACAGTACATAAGCCACTTCTCTGGCCATATGCTGTACTTTCTACAAGAGTGATGGACTGAACACATCAGTTCCAGACTGAGGGACTGATTACCTCAAACTCCTCCTCTCCTTACCCCTCTCTGCTTTGTATTGGACTGAAGAAGCCACTGTGTGGCAAAACGTTTCCTTAATAAAGATTCCCATATGTTGCATAAGTGTCTCAATCTTTAAGTTAATTCTGTCATGTACATATTTCTAAAATAGAAATCACAAAAGGTTTGTAATGGAATTCAAGCATTTTGAGAAGTTGTCATGATATCTTAGGTTAAGAAATCTTAATGTTTCTTGTGTATGTCTGACTACAGTATAAAAACATTTAATTATTAATTGCTGTGTTGTAAGTATGTACATGTATAAGTTTATTCAGTTCAGATACACATAAGTACAATTATCATAGTGTAAATTACCCACCAGAATAACCCCCAAAAAATCAGTGACTTATTTCCATTGTATCTGTTTTTAAGTGATATACAGTATACACAGCACTGTACGACCCTTGTGGGTTTAACAGTTATGATTATACTTAAGAGTAGGGCTTAGCTCATGGTTTCTTATCAGTATTTAATCAGTCTTAAATTTTTCACCATTTCCCTTATCCAAGGAATTTCTCAACATTTATCCAAAGAATTTTTCAACATTTACTTTATCCAAGGAACTGGATCAATCCTCCCCTTCTTCAGATCATATGTGATTGCTTCCTATTTTCCCAGGTGCTATATGATCCTACATGTTCAATATTTGACCATTAATATATTATTACAGGAATGGGGATGTGGAAGATGATATAGTAGAGGATACTGAAAACTCTGCACTCAAGGAGACTGGTAAGAAAGGCAAGAAGGCAAAGAAAAAAACTGAAGATTGGGAGGATGATATTGCTAAGGAGTTGGAAGACATGACCTTGGAGGAGACGGGAGGGAACAAGGAGGAGGTGCCAGTCCCTCCTGTTGAGAAGAAGAGAAAGGAAAAGGTACATAAATAACTACATATCAGTAATTACTTTTTTGTAGGTGTAGGAGCAGAGCTTTTGCTTTTGTCAATTTCTTTTAACACCGGCAGTCTCCCACAGAAGTACGGTCATCAAAAAAAAAAAAAGAGGAAATACATTTACCATCACTCGTTCAGTCTTGCCACCCATTTCTGTATAAACATTGTATCATGCTGAAATTAATATTTTTTCAACACACCCGCTGTATCCCACTGAGGCACGGTAACCTGAAAAGAAAAATGAAAAGTTTTCTTTACAAATTTAGTAATTTATACAGGAGAGGGGGTTACTAGCCCCTTGCTCCTGGCGAAATTGAGTTGTCTTTTCAACACGCAGGCTTACGGAGGAGATTCTTTTCCACTTCCCCATGGAGATAAGAGGAAATAAAGAAGAGCAAGAATTGGTAAGAAAATAGAAGAAAACCCAGAGGGGTGTGTATATATATATGCTTGTGCATGTATGTGTAGTGTGACCTAAGTGTAAGTAGAAGTAGCAAGACCTACCTGAATTTGCATGTTTCCATGAGACGGAAAAAAAATAAAGGCACCAGCATCCTACCACATGTAAAACAATTACAGTTTCCGTTTCACACTCACTTGGCAGGACGGTAGTACCTTCCTGGGTGGTTGCTGTCTACTAACCTACTACCTAGGACTGAAATGAAATAATATTATTGCTGTTGAAAGTGCACCTACATCAGTTCAAATGACCCTCTGAACTGCAAGTCCCTCATCCTCAGGTGCTAGCATTGTTACTTCCACCTTCAGGACTAAATCCAGATCATCCTGTTCAATAGCACCATCAGGTTCCAATGCCCATCAAGTTCCCTCTTATAGCACATCAGGTTCCTCAATGCACATCAGGATTCCTCAATAGCACTCAGGTCCTCAATAGCACATCAGGTTCCTCAATAGCACATCAGGTTCCTCAATAGCACATCAGGTATCTCAATAGCACATCAGGTTCCTCAATAGCACATCAGGTTCCTCAATAGCACATCAGGTTCCTCAATAGCACATCAGGTTCCTCAATAGCACATCAGGTCAAAATATAGGAATCATGGCCTGAGGCTATGATTCCTATATTTTTTGATGAATAAGACTGTTTCTGCTAGTGTCCTGTAGATCCACAGCCACCCCAGTCAGGCTGAACTGGCACTTGGAGGAGGTAGTTGCTGTGCTGCAGTACGATGCTGGCGATATACTCTTGATGAAAGGAACTGGAGCTACTTTCTCTTGCATTAAACCTGATTACCTCTCATTCCCTATGTGCTCTATGATCTTGACACCTCATCATTAGGAATTTAATAATATTGATACATAGCTGAGCTATATTTATGGTGTCTTATTTTCATTATTTATTCTATTGTACATATTTGTTTACTTTTTAGTTGTATTACTATTTCTTGCATCCCATTCCACTTACCTTCTACATGGAAGATGTATAAATCTATAGTGGAAGGAAGGCAAGGTATGGGGTTGCCCTAGAAAAGGTTGGGGGTAGGGGTAGAGGTTACTGTACTGTACTGTACTGCTTGGACATCCAGCGTGTGTGAAGTTTTGTATCCTTTTGGCCCAGCTGTTCACCATTTACAATTGTGACCTTCCTTTAAAGGGGGGCCCTGTCTTAATGCTGGTGAAAGCCTCTTCATTCTTAATCCAAGGAAACCGGAGCTGCCATCCCCTTGTTTTGGTTTAAACCTGATTACCTCGCATGCCCCAGGTTTTGTATGACATCTTTAGCACTTCCCCATGAATATGCACTAATAATATAGTCATCTTACAACCTCTTGTTTTTTGTGCTGTTTATTCTTCGTATCTTTTTATGGCTTTATACACTGCTAGCAAGTGTTCAGAATAGTAGTCTTAATGAATCAAGACTGATTCTGAACACCTGCTACAAGGCTGAATGACTTGTTACCTCATCTTCAACCCCTTCAGTCTTCTGTTTTAATCCCTGTATTGTATTTATAAAGCCACTGGTAGGCAAAACTTCTACATAATAGACACCCAGTTGTTGCACTTGTGTGTAATATTTCAGCTGATTTGAACTATGATGCCCTTGGACTGACTGAGGACTGGGCGCAATCATTTTGTCTATAGCCACCTCTTTGCATGTGTTCCTTTTCCCTTTCTGTATAGTTTGTGACTTGTTTCTAATTGGGTACACATTCTAACAGCTCACAACTTAGGCTTCTCATGTTTTTTGTAATTACCAAGGTAGCATGTAGGATCTTGGAACTTTTAAGGGAGTCTTGACCTTTAGTGGTTTAATAGTACGTATATTTAATTGATGTTGGTTATTTTGCATTGGGTGTTTATGTTCGTCCTAGGTAGTAGGTGGGTAGACAGCAACCACCCAGGGAGGTACTACTGTCCTGCCAAGTGAGTGTAAAACGAAAGCCTGTAATTGTTTTACATGATGGTAGGATTGCTGGTGTCCATTTTTCTGTCTCATAAACATGCAAAGTTTCAGGTATGTCTTGCTACTTCTACTTACATTTAGGTCACACTACACATACATGTACAAGCATGTATATACACACGCCTCTGGGATTTCTTCTATTTTTCTTACTAGTTCTTGTTTATTTCCTCTTATTTCCATGGGAAGTGGAACGGAATTCTTCCTCCGTAAGCCATGTGTGTCGTAAGAGGCAACTAAAATGCCGGGAGCAAGGGGCTGGTAACCCCTTCTCCTATATACATTACTAAATTTAAAAGGAGAAACTTTCGTTTTTTTCTTTTGCGCCACCCCGCCTCAGTGGGATACGGCCAATGTATTGAAAGAAGAAGAAAAGTTTATGTTCGTTGCTTTTATAGTTAAATTTTTTTTTTTTTTTATTGCATATGTGTTGTATATACTGTATGGAATTTTTCTAATGCTGTGAGCACTGGGACCCACAGAGTCTTAGTGCGTGGAAAATATCACAACACTACTACTACTGTTGGCAAGACAACTTGAATGAGTAATGGAGACCATTTCCTTTGTGTCACTGTGTCTTGGTAGGAAATGGCCAGTTTAAACAAAAAAAGTGCAGTTGCAACCCTAAACTGTGATTTAAGCCATTTACAGCTGCCTGAGGTATCTTGAAAGGTCTCATAAATATTTTGGAGTTTATTATATACAGGTGCTCCTTGACTTATGATGGTTCAGCTTACAGTACATTATTTCAAATTTACAATGGTGTGGCAGCAATTACTTTGGAGGTGAAAATTAGGATAGTTACCCAGCATGAAGGCAGCAAGTCCCTAACTTGTATTCACTTCTTTACTTTTCAGTACTGGTATTTAGTTAGTTACAGTAATTATCTTTATTTACTTATTCAGTAACAGTAATTATTTACTTATTGTATTCACATTCAACTTACGATGAGTTCGTTGAAAAGTAACTCCATCATAAGTCACGGAACACCCGTACTGTCCATATGTTTATTTCATATTTTATTAAAATTAACATGTATGTTTTTTCAGAAATCTAAAAAAAGTGTCAAGATGGAAGATGATGATTCAGAAGATGACTTTGTAATTAAACCTAAAATGGGTGGAGGGTTTGCTGCTCTAATGGATGATAATGATGATGACCTTATGGATGAAGATGATGAACCTGTTGTAGAGGAGAAGCCAAAGAAAGACAAGAAGAAGAAGAAAGAAGAGCAACAGGTCATTGAAGCTGAGGAAGAAAAGGGAAAGAAAACCAAGAAGAAAAAAGGGAGGAAGAAAGATGATGACGAAGATTTGGATAAAATTTTGGCGGAACTGGAATCTGAATACAAAGGAGAAAAGCCTAAAGAAGATCTCAAGAAAGATGGATCAGTAGGCGAAGAGATGATAATAGAGCAACAGGTAATTGATGCTGAGGAAGAAAAGGGAAAGAAAGCGAAGAAGAAGAAAGGTAAAAAGAAAGGTGATGATGAAGACCTAGATAAAATTTTAGAGGAACTTGAATCTGAATACAAAGGGGAAAAGCCTAAAGAAGAACCCAAGAAAGATGGATTAATAAGTGAAGAGGCAATGGTAGAACAAATTATTGATGCTGAGGAAGAAAAGGGAAAGAAAGCTAAGAAGAAGAAAGGGAAAAAGAAAGGCGATGATGAAGATTTGGATAAAATTTTAGAAGAACTGGAATCTGAATACAAAGGGGAAAAGCCTAAAGGAGAACCCAAGAAAGATGGATCAGTAGGTGAAGAGGTAATGGTAGAACAAACAGAAGACACTGGGAAGAAAAAAAAGAAGAAGGAACATGAAGAAGCACCAACGGAAATTGAAGTTACACAGAATGAGGAGCCACAACAGAAGGTAGAGTAATTATTTCTCAGTCTCTCTACCATTGTTAGTCTTGAAACAGTATGTAGCATTTGTTAGATCAGTAAACTGCATAGTTTGTTTGTGAATGTCTACATACCTGACCAGCCAGGCTGTAGTTTGTACGTCAGTTTGCATGCGGCCAGCAGTAGCAGCCTCGTTGATCAGACCCTGATCCACCATGCGGCCTGGTCATGGATCGGGCCATGGGGGCATTGATCCCCAAAACCCTCTCCAGGTATACCTATCCTGCTTCTCTTCCAGTCAGTTTTTTTTTTTTTTTTTCTCCAACAACAAGTTGGCCGTCTCCCACCGAGGCAGGGTGACCCAAAAAAGAAATAAAATCCCCAAAAAGAAAATACTTTCATCATCATTCAACACTTTCACCTCACTCACACATAATCACTGTTTTTGCAGAGGTGCCCAGACAACAGTTTAGAAGCATATACATATAAAGATGCACAACATATCCCTCCAAACTGCTAATATCCCGAAACCCCTCCTTTAGAGTGCAGGCATTGTACAGTACTTCCCATTTCCAGGACTCAAGTCCGGCTATATGAAAATAACCGGTTTCCCTGAATCCCTTCACTAAATATTACCCTGCTCACACTCCAACAGCTCATCAGGTCCCAAATACCATTCGTCTCCATTCACTCCTATCGAGCACGCTCATGCACGCCAGCTGGAAGTCCAAGCCCCTCGTCAGGTTGTTTTTTTTTTTTTTAACAAGTCGGCCGTCTCCCACCGAGGCAGGGTGACCCAAAAAAAGAAAGAAAATCCCCAAAAAGAAAATACTTTCATCATCATTCAACACTTTCACCACACTCGCACATTATCACTGTTTTTGCAGAGGTGCTCAGACTACAACAGTTTAGAAGCATACACATATAAAGATACACAACATATCCCTCCAAACTGCCAATATCCCAAACCCCTCCTTTAAAGTGCAGGCATTGTACTTCCCATTTCCAGGACTCAAGTCCGACTTATGAAAATAACCGGTTTCCCTGAATCCCTTCACTAAATATTACCCTGCTCACACTCCAACAGATCGTCAGGTCCCAAGTACTATTCATCTCCATTCACTCCTATCTAACACGCTCACGCACACTTGCTGGAAGTCCAAGCCCCTTGCCCACAAAACCTCCTTTACCCCCTCTCTCCAACCCTTTCGAGGACGACCCCTACCCCGCCTTCCTTCCCCTATAGATTTATATGCTTTCCATGTCATTCTACTTTGATCCATTCTCTCTAAATGACCAAACCACCTCAACAACCCCTCTTCTGCCCTCTGACTAATGCTTTTATTAACTCCACACCTTTTCCTAATTTCCACACTCCGAATTTTCTGCATAATATTTACACCACACATTGCCCTTAAACAGGACATCTCCACTGCCTCCAACCGTCAGGTACCTTCATAATATTCATTTCAGTGGTATTTTTTTTAACTATTTTTAGCCTTGGGGGATAGAGACAGTGTATTTCACATACCCCAGTAAATTTTTTGTGTATATCCAACGTATAAATTGGTTCTTCTCCAATTGGAAACTTTATTGTCTTGAAATCATGCAATAAAGATGAAAGTTTTTCAAATCACAGACTGGGTGGGGTTCAGACCCATGGCAGGTGGGTCTTAAAACTGACAGGCCCGTGTACTAACCACTTGACCAGCTGGCCGAGTGGTTAGTACACTGGCCTCTGAGGGTTTAAGACTCATTCTGTGATTTGTTTGCAATAGTTTTATGATTTTTGTGTTTAATGATAACTTTCATAAATTTGTAAAGTCCATACCATATACTGGATTCTGGAACTAAGTCCCATGCTAAAAGGCATGATAGAATGGCATTTTTTTTATAATGTATGTGTTTTTTTTTTTTGTTTTTTTCAACAAGTCGGCCGTCTCCCACCGAGGCAGGGTGACCCAAAAAAGAAAGAAAATCCCCAAAAAGAAAATACATTCATCATCATTCAACACTTTCACCACACTCACACATTATCACTGGTTTTGCAGAGGTGCTCAGAATACAACAGTTTAGAAGCATATACGTATAAAGATACACAACATATCCCTCCAAACTGCCAATATCCCAAACCCCTCCTTTAAAGTGCAGGCATTTGTACTTCCCATTTCCAGGACTCAAGTCCGACTATATGAAAAAAACCCGGGTTTTTCCCCTGAATCCCTTCACTAAAAAATACCCTGCTCACACTCCAACAGTTTCCGGGGTCCAAGTCCCAAGTACCATTCATCTCCATTCACTCCTATCTAACACGCTCACGCACACTTGCTGGAAGTCCAAGCCCCTCGCCCACAAAACCTCCTTTACCCCCTCTTTCCAACCCTTTCGAGGACGACCCCTACCCCGCCTTCCGTTCCCCTATAGATTTATATGCTTTCCATGTCATTCTACTTTGATCCATTCTCTCTAAATGACCAAACCACCTCATGTATGTGTATTTGTAACAAATGTTTATGTATTTATAGGATGAGGAAGAAAAGGAAGGTGATGCTAAGGCAAAGAAGAAGAAAAAGAAAGTTAAAGACACAGCAGAGATAACGGTAAATATAGTGCATTGTCATAGTTCAGATCTTTTCAGAATATGTAATAAAAATTTGATAGGCTTGCTCTTACAAAAATATATTGATGTTTAGCTTGGTAATATTTAGCTTAATGAATTAACAGAAGGATGGATAGCAGGCTTGAACTGTGGTCCCAACATTGACAATTTAGCTCAGTGTTTTTTTTCTCATGGTAGAAGGGTGATGCAGCGGATGCCAAAGTTGATGTAGCAGATGCCAAGGTTGAAGTGGCGGATGCTGGAGAGGAGGACGGTGATGCTGATGGTGAGTTGTTGATATTTACACTGACACTTAAGTCTCAATACTGTTGGTGGATAATGAATTAGACACCTGTGCAACACTTGGGTATCTTTATTGTGGAAACATTTCCCTACCCAGTGGCTTCCTTAGTCCAGTACAGACAAGAATGATTGAAGGTGATAAGGAGTTTGAGGTAATCAGTCCCTCAGTCTGGAGTCAATGTGTCTACATCAACTCTAGGCTGTCAGTTCTCTGAATCATTTATCTACACTGTGGCTAGAATCCTCCCCTTAAGGGAACTTCTTTGATGTTAATAAGGAGCTCTCGATCCAGGGAATTAGACTTGTCATCTCTCCTGGATTCGGCCTAATTTCTTCACATTGCCCAGGTGGTTACATTATGTTAGTGTAGTATAAATGTGTATAGTTAATATGTAAATACGTACACTAAGTCCTCACTTAACATAGTTTTGTTATAACGTTAATGAGGAAAAAAACTGATTCCCAGCTGGGGCCGGTGTCTGTGGCATATACACGTTCATTTTTGAACTTCTTGGTGGTAGGAGATACTACTTAGTTTTTCCTTTGCGAACATTTATTCCTTGATTTAACCCGTTGCAGTGAGTGCTGAAGGTGCACTATGCATCCCTGATGTTATATCAATTAGCTTTTTGGCTGTTTGGAGTACATTGAACTCCCCGTTCGGGGCCCCTTGCAAAGACGTGATTGGTGAGTGAGGGTGAAAGTTTCCTTTTTTTTTTTTTTTTTTAGGTACCCAAAATGTTTTTGAAAAAAAAAAGGGTTTCGTTATACATGTTTCACAAGAATGGTATACAATACCGACAAGATAAATTGAGACATGTAAAATTTTTGGGGTATCTTTATTAAGACGTTCCCCCCTCCAGGGCTTCATCAATACAAATTCCGGACATAACTTAAGACGGATGGTGAAAGTAAAAAATAAAGATATCCAGATTTTGCCATGTGCTAATTTCAATATAGTTTTTTAAAGTGCAGTTTCCAAAACCTATTGAGATTCTAAATGGGATTACTGTATGTTAACTGACAAGTAACTTATTATTAAACATTTAGAAAACTTTTAGCAAAATTTTAATACGTTAAGAAAGCTACTTCTGTACTTTTTGTTTTAAAGGGGGGATCCTTGATGGGGTAAAGGCCCCTTGCCCAAGGGAAATTTGGGAGTTCCCTTCTGTCTCTTCAGATCAAATTTTGATTCCTTTTCCTTCCAAAAAGTTCTGTCCGCCCGAATGGGATTTGTTTCTTGTGAATGTAGCCAAAACATAAGAACTAAGAACAAGGAAACGCAAAAGCCAAATGGCCCTGGAGGCAGCCAAGTCTCCTCCCCGTTTAAGCCAAGCCCCCAAACCTACAGGTCAGGTAAACTTGACTTAGGGAGGAACACGGAAAAACCGACCTGGTAAAAACCATCAGGTCTAACCACACCCACCCACACCCCACTCATGTATTTATCCAACCTATTTTTAAAGCTACAAAACGTTCTGGCCTCTATAACGGTATTGGGTTTGTTCCACTATCCACAACTTATTTCCAAAACCCAAATTTCTATATCCCTTCCCGAATCTGAATTTTTCCAACTTAAAACCTTGCTGCGAGTCCTTTCTAGGGTAGATATTTTCAGCACACATTACATCCCCTTTTTTTATTCCTTCTTCCATTTATCCCCTAATCATTCCCCCCTAATTTTAGTCTTTCTAGGAGTCAGATTCAGGGGTTAGTCTATCCTCATGGGAAGGTTTCTGATACTGGATCAACTTTTTCATCCCCCTTTGTACTTTCCAGGAATTATATCCATTCTGAAAAAGGGCCAAAACTGGCAGCTAACTAATGAGCCTAAACCCAAGGGTTATGAGTTGAAGAACAACCTGAGGACTCCATTTATTTTGCTTCTTGATATGAAGCCAAGGATTCATTAGCTTTATTGCGAACACTTACACTGTTTCTTGGTTTCGATTAGCTAACCAGAACTCCTAAATCTTTTTTTGCAACCTAAATTAAGATCTACATTATTTAGTTTATATGTGGCATGGTTTTTTGCCTGTCCAAAATTTAAACTTTTTCATTTTTTTTTTATTAAAATGCATCTGCCCCTCTCCGCCCCTGCATCGTCTATCAAATTTTCCGGGTGCCGAGTCCTCGCAGAATGAATTTACGGGCCCTTTTTGGGGTCATCGCAAACTTTCCGATGGCTTTTTGCCTCATCTTGTGTTATGTAGATTGTGAACGCGGGGGGCCCCAACACTATCCCTGTGGAACACCCCTCGTGACACTTCCCACTCTGATTTCTCCCCATTTATGCAAACTCTCTGCTGCTATTTGTCAACCATGCCCTATCCGGGAAAAAAATTTTCTCCTCCTATTCCATGTTGCTTTAATTTCCTCAATAGTCTCTGATGTGGGACCTGTCAAAAGCCTTACTGAAGTCCATATACACAATATCATATTCATTACCATGATCTACCTCCTCAAATACCTTAGTGAAAAAGTTAAAAAATTCGTAAGGCAGGAACGCCCCTTTGTAAAACCATGCTGAGATTCGTTGTCAATTTATGCTTTTCAAGGTGGCTACGAACTGCCTCGGAAAATTATTGATTCCATAAATTTTCCACTATGGAGGTTAGGCTTATTGGGCTATAGTTCGAAGCTAAGGACCTGTCACCTGTTTGAAAATAGGTATCACATTTGCCATTTTCCACTTATCTGGCACCATGCCAGTTTTTTAGTGATATTTGAAAAAAATTAGCCAAAGGTGTGCTAGCCCCTCTTTACTTTCCCTTTAGAACCCTTGCATACAGTTCATCAGGGCCTGGGGATTTGTTAGGTTTAATTTATCTATTTGCCTAAGGACCATGTCACTTGTGACCCTAATAGTACACAGTTTATTATCGTCCTGTTCTACATAATTTATCATTACTGGAATATCGCTGGTATCCTCCTGTGTAAAAACTGAGAGGAAGTATGTGTTAAAAATTCTACACATTTCCCTTTTCACTGTCAGTAAGTGACCGAGGAACTTTTGAGTGGGCCTATCTTGTCCCTGATCTTACTTTTGTATACCTGAAAGAACCTTTTGGGTAGACTTCGATTCTCTTGCAACTTTAAACCCCATAATCTCTTTTTGCTTTTCTAATTCCCTTTTTTATTTCTCCCCTTTAACTGAATATATCGATTTCTCAATTTGCCCCTCTCCTCTTTTGATTTTCCTATATATGCCTCTCTTTTGAAACCCAATCAGATATTTTAATCTATTGTTCATCCATTTAGGATCATTTTTGTTTGATCTGATTTCCCTATTTGGAACATAATTTGACTGAGCAGCTAGAACTATGCCCTGGAAAGCATCATATCGGCAACCATCACCACCTACCTGACCCTTAGTCAGGTCATTCCAGTTCAGCCCACCTAAGTAATTTTTCAGTCCTATGAAATCAGCCAAGCGAAAGTCAGGGACGGAGACTTGATTGCATTATTAGGGGAATTCCATGATATATTAAAACTGAGTGATTTGTGATCACTTTCCCCAAGCTCATCATTAACCTCAAGATTATTAATTAGTGTTTCCCTACTGGCAAGAACCAAGTCAAGGAGGTTATTTCCCTTAGTTGGCTCTGTCACAAACTGTTTTAAAAAACAATCCTGGATCGTATCAAGAAAGTCACCTGACTCTAAATTTCCTGTCAAATTGCTCCAGTCAATCTGTCTATAGTTGAAATCCCCATTAGCACAACATTTTCGTATGTAGATGCCTTACGAATTTCGTCCCATAGAAGTTTACTGCACTCCCATCAAGATTTGGGGGCCCTGTAAATCACACCCAAAATTAGTTTTTTCTCGGCCCTCGAGAAGCTGTAACCAAACAGATTCAGTGGCTGACGCTTCTAATTTAATATCTTGTCTACACAACAATTTAAATTGTCTCTGACATACATCGCTACTCCACCACCTTTCCTGTTGACCCTGTCAGTGTGGAATAATTTATAGCCTTGTATGTGACATTCAGTAGGGCATCTCTCTATCTTTCAGATTGAGCCAGGTCTCTGTTATAGCAATAATATCTATGTCTCCTGCACTTGCAATTAATCTTAGCTCATCTGTCTTATTTCTTACACTCCTGCTATTAGTATAGTAAACCTTAAGGGAGCTAGTCCCTTGCTGCCCTCTGCTGTCCCCTTTGTTTGCTGACCTGATCTATTGTCTTTATTTATAACTTCATGCTGAATGCCTTTTATACATTTACTGTTTCCAACCCAAGTGTTGCAACCTGCTTGTTTCCCACACACACCCATACCTCTATCTTCCATCAGTTTAAAATCATAGGCATTTCACCAATGGCCTTCTCATCGAGTCTGCAAGTGCTACCACCCCAGCCCCAGAGAGATGTACCCCATCCCTTGCATACATATCATGTTTGCCATAAAAGTTGTTCCAGTTGTCAATGAATGGGATTGCAAGTTCCTTGCAGTATCTGTCTAGCCAGCAATTTACACCAATTGCCCTAGACAACCATTCATTTCCTACTCCCCTTCTAGGCAAGATGCTACATATGATTGGGATCCCTCCCTTAGACTTAATGAAATCTATAGCTGACCTGTACTTATCTAGCAGCTCTTCTCTCCTACCCTTCCCAATATCATTTCCACCAGCACTGAGACAGATAATGGGCTTGCTCCCATTACCTGACATGATATTATCCAGCCTGTTGACAATGTCCCCAACACCAGCTCCAGGGAAGCACACTCTATCTCTCATCTTCTTATTCCTATTACAAAAAGCACGGTCAATGTATCTTACCTGAGAGTCACCAACCACAAGAATGCGCTTACCTCCATTAGCAGGGGCAGTAGTACCCTTACCTTCACTGGCCACTGAAGTACATTCATCCTGAAGAACAGAGAAGCGATTTCCTACCTTCAGATCTTCACTCTTAACTTTCCTTACTCTGATGCGCCTTCCATTACTGTGAACTACTCGCCACTTGTAGCAGGTGCTGGGCTGCACCTCACTGCTGGTAGCCGTTGCTGCCTCCCCAACTACAGCCTCCTCACAGCGAGAGACAGACTGCACCTCGCTGCTAGAAGCCTCATTCCCCACAACTCCAGCCACCTCACACTCTCTCCCAGACCCATTGAGGTGGACCTTCAGCCTCCTAATCTCCTCCTGGAGAAGCAAGACCTCCTCCTTCAACTCTCCAACCTCAATTTTTAAAACACTGCAGAAGCAAGCCATGCTTTGTAACCGTCCACACTAATCCCCAAGGCAGCTCAGGGTCTGTGACCTCACGTGACGACTGACCACTGAGTACTAGTAACTGGACAGGTTGGTGTGGATCATTTGTACATATATTTCTCATCAAATGACAAAGTAAGATCAGTTATAATAATGTTGGTAGAATAACTGGCAATATGTTAGGTATAAGGACACAAGTGCAACTAATGCGACAGTTGATTGTGGCAACGTTTCGGCTTGACAAAGCTCTTGGAGTGTGAAATGTTGCCACAGTAAAATATTGCATTAGTTACACATGTCTTTTTTACCTAAGAAGACCAGTTTGTTAACTGCTCATTACTCTGTAATTTGTCTATGATTGTAATCATGTGATAACGTGTTTATCATTCATTACCTTTGAAACTTGTCATGATCTTGACCAGCTCTACCTGGAGCTCATTACCTTTGTAAATTCTCATGATTAATGTGTTTATGATTCATTACCTTTGCAATTATTCATGAGTGTGACCAGCTCTACCTGGAGCTCATTACCTTTGTAACTTGGTCATGATTATGACCAGATGTAGTTCATTACCTTTGTAACTTGCTCAGCTATCAAAACTTTGGAGTCCAGTCCCTGGACCAATTATGTACCTCTGTAATCTTTTGACTACCGCCCACAGGATGGGTATGGGGTGCATAATAAACATATTAACTGAAACTGAACTGAAGACCAGTTATGTCTGGAACATTGGCTGTCACCATTGAAGTAAGGTATCATAAAAAGAAGGAACCAGATTCACCATCATTCATTCAATGTTTCACCAGAAGCATGCTAGCATCACTAGCATGAAGTTTTTTATGAGTGTTGGTGTTGTGTAAATTGACATATTGTTTGGTGCATGTCCGTATTGTTCCTTGATTTTCGAGTTAAAAGTGGTGATAGGGTATCAGTGTGTATGCTTTGTCAAGTACATGCAGGACCTGCTTATACTGCAGGTTGAGTTCTGGACTACTGCTGTACAGTCAAACATTGCCACTTTTTTCACTTTCAAATGCATATAAAAGCCTGATAACATGCTTACACTACACAAATAACCCGCATATGAAAGAGAGAAGCTTACGACGACGTTTCGGTCCGACTTGGACCATTGACAAAGTCACACTTTGTCAATGGTCCAAGTCGGACTGAAACGTCGTCGTAAGCTTCTCTCTTTTATGTGCGGGTTATTTGTGTATCGTTCCAGTCACGGTATTGTGCCTTTTTGTTATTTATGCTTACACTATCATAAGTGAGCAATAGAACTAGGCCTAAAAAATTCATATACAATACATACATTACTTACCTTAAATTATTTTCGTCCTTAGTTTAGAGCGAGTGGTGAATACATTTATTGTAGGAAGACTGAATAAATGAAGACTGGGTATAATTTCAAACTGCTGTATTAGTGAAACTCCATAAAGTGAAGCGCTGTAAGGTGGGGCCTGCCTGTACTGATAAAATGGCTTGTAAGCCGCACTGTGGGTAAAATGGGGTCGTCCCTATGTTGTCCCTTTATATCGCTGAAAAGTGTATTTCGACTTAGCTTACCAAAATATTTGTTGTCTACCAGCATACATACTGATGACTCTATTAAATACTCAGGTGAAAGCACTAGTAAGAGGAAAAAGAAAAAGAAGAAAGGGGAAAAAGATGAGGAGGAAGATGCAAAGGCCAAAAAAGGCAAACCTAACAAGAAGATGCTGGCAGCGATGAAAGAACTCCTTGCTAAACAGAAGGAAGAAGAAGAAAGATTGAAGGCAGAAGAGGAGGAAAGAATAAGACAAGAGGAAGAAAGGGTAAGATAAAAAGTTTTGTTTGTATTATTAACACACAGTAACTCAGATTAGCTATTTTTTTTTTTTTTTAATATGTCTGCCATCTCCCATTGAAGCATGGTGACCCCCCTCCCCCCCCCAAAAAAGAAAGAAAAATTTTTCACCATCATTCACCCCCCCCCCCCAAAAAAAAAAAAAAAAAAAAAACTTTCACCATCATTCACATATAATTCCAGTTTTCACAGAAGCATGCAGATATGACAGTTCAAATATCACTCTCAACAGTTAAATTTTTGTATAAATTTAAGTGACCTCATCTTGTTTATTAAAATTTTAGCTTGTCATTATTGTATCTCTAAATGTGAAAGGTTTTATAAAAAATACATTTTAAAGTGTGAGTAGTTATAGGTGAGGTGAAAAGGCTGGGTTTGATTGGTACTTGAGATACTGAAGAAATTTCTTGGGTGCCGCCAATAAAAAGTAGGGGCGCCATTGGTACACTAAGAGAAAACACCATAAGTGTCCGGGGCCCAAGACTGTTCAACAGCCTCCCATCAAGCATTAGGGGAATTGCCAATAAACCCCTGGCTGCCTTCAAGAGAGAGCTGGACAGATACCTAAAGTCAGTGCCGGATCAGCCGGGCTGTGGCTCGTACGTTGGACTGCGTGCGGCCAGCAGTAACAGCCTAGTTGATCAGGCCCTGATCCATCGGGAGGCCTGGTCGTGGACCGGGCCGCGGGGGCGTTGATCCCCGGAATAACCTCCAGGTAACCTCCAGGTAACCCTTGGGAAAAGTTTGGACAGATACATGGGTGGGAATAGTTGGTCTTCACTGGTGATAAAAGAAAACATTAATTTGATCATGATGTTTTATGAAGCTAAAAAAATATTATATAAAAAGTAACTACCAAATTTCTAAGTACCAAACAATACATGTACATATTTTGTTTTAGATCCGTAAAATAGAAGAGGAGAAGCGAATAGAGCAAGAAAAGAAAGATCGCAAGAAACAGAAGGAGAAAGAAAGAAAAGAACGTCTCAAGGCTGAAGGAAAGTTGTTAACTCCAAAGCAGAAGCAAGACATGCGCAGGGCACAAGATCTGCTGGAACATTTAAAGGTAGGTGTAAAATATTTGCTCTGATAATAACATTGCACAAATAGTTTGCACGTACGAGAGGGAAACTTATGATGACGTTTGTCTGATTTGGACCATTAACTAGTGACTAGTTTATGATCCAGGTCAGACTGAAGCATCATGACCACCATCATTGTCTTATATGCAGGTCATTTGTGTATTGTTTAAGTCATAGTATTATGACTTTTTCTTCGGTATAATTTCATTACTTGTGACTGTTTTAAAAGTAGTTCTTCCCTCTCAGCTTGATTTGAAGTTAGTCTTGTTGACTGTCTGATCACCCAGGTTGTTGCTTTTAGTGAACTGCAGACCTACCTGTGATATACTTGTAACCACTTTTGAGTGTTTTCCTTCTGTAGCCCAAGTCTGGTCTGGGCTTCTCTGGTGCCTGCTTTGTCAACCAGGCTGTTGCTTCTTGTGGCCCACTTGTCTACTTAACCATCACAGTCTGGTTGATCTTGCATAAAAACACATTATTATGTAGAGCATTTCAGGTAGACTAAAACTAGGATTTAAAATCTCAAGTCTTTCCTTATTATACCTCTCAGTGTTTGGTAACATTGATGAGATTATTTTTACTAATGCTACTGATCTTAATTCAACTGTAAGCTCAAATCTTTTATGCTTTTTGCATACTTATCTGTCATTTAGTGATGCTCTTGTCCTCTCTTTGGTTTAGTCCTTGCCCTAGCTCAGGGGTGGGCAACCCTTTGCATGTGTGCCAAACCTGGCATGCCAGCGACTTCTTTCCGGCATGCTAACCTCTGGTCTCATCTCAAAAAAAAAAAAAAAAAAAAAAATTGTGACATTTATCACATAGCCATTCCAAGAAAAGTGGGGAAATAGTCCCCATATGTTTCCAGAGATTTTGTATCAAAGATATGGCCAACTTTGGCATGCACACTTAAAAAGGTCACCCACCCCTGCCCTAGCTCATCCATTTCAAATTTTTTTTCAGCTTTTTGTTTCACCTGAAGGTAATTATTTCTCTCTCTCCTGCTGGCTTATCTGCTCTCTATGGTTAACCTCTTTACTTATTCATTACCTTTGTGCTAACTGAATTTTTCCTCCATGTGTAAAGGACTGAATAATGGGTTCTGGGAGTGTGAATCTGGGCATCATACTGTCAACAAAAGACAAGACAGTTTGCAAGAGCTTTTTTTTTTCCTATATTTCTTGCCATGTAAAGCAAAACATGGTTCTAATAAAAGCTCCTTTTGCGATCTGTCTTTTTTTCGTTCTAAATAAAAGCTCCTTTTACGATCTGTCTTTTTTTCATTTCAGTGGTGCCTTTTTTTGTGTGTGTGTTTTTATTTATTCTTGTGCAGATCAGTACAAGCCTGTCTGCCATTTGTTTGCACGATTGGTAGATACTTTTAGTCGTTTCACTGGTGCTGTAGTTGACATAAAGGACTCGGACACAGCTTTGTAGTTTGTGGCTTATTTATTTTACAGATTATCACATTGAACTGTTAATATTATAGGCAGTGTCTAATAACCTCAGGGAAAAATCTTTCCAGTTTAAATATTTTGTTCCAGATTGCAGATATGCCCATTTTTTTGTAATTCTAAATTTTGTGTGATTTGATTTCCCTTGCATAAGCATTTTTCTAAATATGAGACATGACTGTATAATTTGGAAGATCATTAAATAATTTTTTTCATTGAACACCCACAGGCCCAGGGAGTAAGTGTACCAGAGGCAGGAGAAAAGCGATTTCGACCTGGTACCAGAATTCGACCCAAGAAAACTAAAAAGGAGGAGAAATTAGAAGACCAAGGTCAGCCTAAAAAAAAATCTTATTTTATATAGGGTTGACTGGTAAACAATGGCAAGGCCTTATGCAAATCACCAAATGCTTCACTGAGTGGGTTGGTCATCGGTTAACATGTCAGTACAAATTCATTTCTGATGAGTCTCTTTCCCTTCCCCTTCTTTTTTCTCATCTTTCCTCCCTCTTTTTTCCCCTATATTTTTGTGTTTAGTAATTATCAAATCTTCATGAGGATGCAGCACTAAAAACATGCAAAATATGCTTGATTTTCACACTACTGTGTCTTGTATAATTTACGCTGTGTATACATAGGTTTTTTTTTTTATCACACTGGCCGATTCCCACCAAGGCAGGGTGGCCCGAAAAAGAAAAACTTTCACCATCATTCACTCCATCACTGTCTTGCCAGAAGGGTGCTTTACACTACAGTTTTTAAACTGCAACATTAACACCCCTCCTTCAGAGTGCAGGCACTGTACTTCCCATCTCCAGGACTCAAGTCCGGCCTGCCGGTTTCCCTGAACCCCTTCATAAATGTTACTTTGCTCACACTCCAACAGCACGTCAAGTATTAAAAACCATTTGTCTCCATTCACTCCTATCAAACACGCTCACGCATGCCTGCTGGAAGTCCAAGCCCCTCGCACACAAAACCTCCTTTACCCCCTCCCTCCAACCTTTCCTAGGCCGACCCCTACCCCGCCTTCCTTCCACTACAGACTGATACACTCTTGAAGTCACTCTGTTTCGCTCCATTCTCTCTACATGTCCGAACCACCTCAACAACCCTTCCTCAGCCCTCTGGACAACAGTTTTGGTAATCCCGCACCTCCTCCTAACTTCCAAACTACGAATTCTCTGCATTATATTCACACCACACATTGCCCTCAGACATGACATCTCCACTGCCTCCAGCCTTCTCTCGCTGCAACATTCATCACCCATGCTTCACACCCATATAAGAGCGTTGGTAAAACTATACTCTCATACATTCCCCTCTTTGCCTCCAAGGACAAAGTTCTTTGTCTCCACAGACTCCTAAGTGCACCACTCACCCTTTTCCCCTCATCAATTCTATGATTCATCTCATCTTTCATAGACCCATCCGCTGACACGTCCACTCCCAAATATCTGAATACATTCACCTCCTCCATACTCTCTCCCTCCAACCTGATATCCAATCTTTCATCACCTAATCTTTTTGTTATCCTCATAACCTTACTCTTTCCTGTATTCACTTTTAATTTTCTTCTTTTGCACACCCTACCAAATTCATCCACCAATCTCTGCAACTTCTCTTCAGAATCTCCCAAGAGCACTGTCATCAGCAAAGAGCAACTGTGACAACTCTCACTTTGTGTGATTCTTTATCTTTTAACTCCACGCCTCTTGCCAAGACCCTCGCATTTACTTCTCTTACAACCCCATCTATAAATATATTAAACAACCATGGTGACATCACACGTCCTTGTCTAAGGCCTACTTTTACTGGGAAATAATTTCCCTCTTTCCTGCATACTCTAACCTGAGCCTCACTATCCTCGTAAAAACTCTTCACTGCTTTCAGTAACCTACCTCCTACACCATACACCTGCAACATCTGCCACATTGCCCCCCTATCCACCCTGTCATATGCCTTTTCCAAATCCATAAATGCCACAAAGACCTCTTTAGCCTTATCTAAATACTGTTCACTTATATGTTTCACTGTAAACACCTGGTCCACACCCCCCCTACCTTTCCTAAAGCCTCCTTGTTCATCTGCTATCCTATTCTCCGTCTTACTCTTAATTCTTTCAATAATAACTCTACCATACACTTTACCAGGTATACTCAACAGACTTATCCCCCTATAATTTTTGCACTCTCTTTTGTCCCCTTTGCCTTTATACAAAGGAACTATGCATGCTCTCTGCCAATCCCTAGGTACCTTACCCTCTTCCATACATTTATTAAATAATTGCACCAACCACTCCAAAACTATATCCCCACCTGCTTTTAACATTTCTATCTTTATCCCATCAATCCCAGCTGCCTTACCCCCTTTCATTTTACCTACTGCCTCACGAACTTCCCCCACACTCACAACTGGCTCTTCCTCACTCCTACAAGATGTTATTCCTCCTTGCCCTATACACAAAATCACAGCTTCCCTATCTTCATCAACATTTAACAATTCCTCAAAATATTCCCTCCATCTTCCCAATACCTCTAACTCTCCATTTAATAACTCTCCTCTCTTATTTTTAACTGACAAATCCATTTGTTCTCTAGGCTTTCTTAACTTGTTAATCTCACTCCAAAACTTTTTCTTATTTTCAACAAAATTTGTTGATAACATCTCACCCACTCTCTCATTTGCTCTCTTTTTACATTGCTTCACCACTCTCTTAACCTCTCTCTTTTTCTCCATATACTCTTCCCTCCTTACATCACTTTTTCTCCCTTACTACTCTCTTTACATCATCATTCCACCAATCGCTCCTAGGTATGTATTATTATCATTGTCTTTATTAGTGATGAGGATTGTTTTACAGTACATAATATTATTTATAAACTTTTATTTCCTCTTGTTGTCAGAGATGGCAGAGCCAGAAGATAAAGCTGAGGAAGAAGCTGTACCAAAAGAAGATGAAGTAATGGAATCTTGTGATAAAGTGGAAGAAGAGGAAGAGGAGGAGGAGGTGGTGGAGGATGTGAAAGATGCATGGGATGAGAGTGAAGAAGATGCTGATGAAGACGAAGGTAAGATTTTAAATATTTTCTCATTAAGCTTTAAGATATGTAAACAAGTTGTATATTTTGCAAACGTGAGAGAGGAAATACAGAAAATTACGATGGAATTAAAATATGAAAGTTGTATTCGCTAGGTGGCACTTCAGTGCAGCCAAACGGAGAATGCATGTAAAAACTGAAAAAAGGCTGGACAGGCCCAAGGTTGTCAAGAATATCATCTTCATAGGATATCCAGTTCATTTACTGATGTTTTGATTGCTTCTTCATCCATCATCAGAATCTATAACTATTATGATAATGTTGAAATGCTATTTTAAAATAATATTGCAAGAGCATTCTAGTTAAAATTCTAATTATGACATGCCATGAATAATTTGACTAAAGTATAGTAATAATGTTGGTAGAATTACCGACAATATGTTACATAGAAGGAAACAAGAGCAACTAATGTGACATTGTATTATGCCAATGTTTTGTAACGGCTTGACAAAGCTCCTGGAGAGTGAAATGTTGCCACAATAAAATATCCCATTAGTTGCACTTGTGTCCTTTTACCTGATTTAAATATAGTCTATGTAACACTGCAAGTTTCGCAGCATTGCTCTTTCTCTGTGTGGTACAGCCAATCGTACTAGGTGCTCCTCAACTTATGATGGGGGTTACATTCCAATGAACCCATCATAAGTTGAAAACACAGTAAGTCGAATATCAATACAGGTACTTCTTGACTTATCATATTTCAACTTTACGATGGTGCTGTTAACTGATACCAAGAAATAGCCATTAAAACCATGAAAAAAAAAATTCTAAAAATCACCTCTAAGTTGCTATATACAACCAAACAAGGTTGCAAGTTAGCTTTTCCTGTCATACATTGTGTAGGGCAGGATTTTTTTTAATACCATGCAAGCTTACCACACAAACCCATTCTCTCATGCCTAGGCCAAAATTTACCACTCACAGCATATTTGAGTTCGCTGTACTTAAAACAGATATGCGTAAGTAACACTGGCATCAGTAACCTAGATCTGCTAAGTAGGGTAATAGAGGCTAAGGCCTTGTGTAACTTCAACAGGAGATTGGACAGATATATGAGTGAATTGGGCTGGGTTTGATTAGCACCTGAGGTACTGAAGCATATTCATGGGTAGCCATGGGGAAAAGTTGGATGAATACATGGGTGAGAATGGTTGGTTTGATAAGGACCTGCCTTGTTTTGGCCAGCAGGCCTGCTGCAGTGTTCCTCCATTCTTATGTTAAAAACATATGTGAAAGGGTTAATACACATACCTATAATAAGGACTTTGGACTTCAAAATGAACTTGATAACCACAGTCTGAACCTTAATATACAGACATCTCGGAAGACACAAAGACTCCAAAGGTTGCAAAGAAAACCATAAAGGATGAAGATGACGATGATGAGGATGAAGATGAGGACGAGGACGAGGACGATGATGAAGAAGAAAGTGATGAGGTATCTAAAACCTTTCATTTCAGATATTTTTGTCATGCACAGTTGCCAATACAGGTGGTCCCTAATATACAAACAAGTTGTGTTCCCAGTGTTTCAATATATAAGCAAGTTGTTTTTGTGGAGAATAATACAAATGTGAGTTGTTGTAGTTAAAAGGTCATCTGAACTGTGGTGTCAGCATGCTTTGGGCAGGACGGCGATTTAATAAGTGATGGTGTGTATGTTTCTTCTTTTTTGGGTCACCCTACATTGGTAGAAGATGGCCATTGTTTAAAAGAAATAATTCAAACATTGGTTATGTTTCAGTACAGATACATGTGTTGCACAACAAGCTTAAACAGGGACAACAATTCACTGTTTGTACAGTGTTATCACTTGTTCTAGTACAAGTTTGTTCTGCAACTGTCTTCATTCTTATAAGGCAATATGCCATTTTATCTAGTGCTTATGATGCATTTTGGCAGTTGTAAAAAAATTGATGGATTTCTAAGCATCCCACCTGTAATTGCACTTGTAAGTTGGGGATGTTTGTAACTAGAGGATCAGTGGTCTAAAATTCAAGGAAGTTCAGTACATGTAAACAAAAATGTGTACCTCTAGCAACCTCAACTCCAACAACTTTTCTATTTGTTACCTCTGTGTAGTGATACTTTTATTAAGAAATTTATGCTTTACAGGAATCTGAAAGCGGAGACTCTGAAGAGGAGCGACAAACTGAAGCAGAGAAGAGGAAACAGAGGGCTTTGTTACGCATAGCTAAGAGGAAAGAGATGAATGAGAAGAATTTAATGCCAGATATGCTTAGATCACCTGTGGTTAGTTTCTTTTTTGTATTACTGAGATGGTAATAATGGTAGAATTACCAATAGTATGTAAGGTAAATCTTCTTTCAGCAAACCAGCAGTATCCCACTGAAGCAGGGTGGCTGAAAAAGAAAAACAAAAGTTTCTCTTTTTAACTTTAGTAATGTATACAGGAGAAGGGGTTACTAACCCCTTGCTCCCAGCATGTTAGTCACCTCTTAGGACACACATGACATATGGAGGATGAATTCTGTTACACTTTCCCATGGAGATAAGAGGAAATAAACCAGAACAAAAACTAGTAACTATGTAGTAGGTTGGTAGGCAGCAACTGCCCAGGGAGGTACTACTGTCCTGCCAAGTGAGTGTAAAACAAAAGCCTGTAATTGTTTTACATGATGGTAGGATTGCTGGTGTCTTCTGTATGTCTCATAAACATGCAAGATTTCAGGTACGTCTTGCTACTTCTACTTACACTTAGGTCACACTACACATACATGTACAAGCATATATATACACACCTGTCTTGGTTTTCTTTTATTTTCTTTCTAGTTCTTGTTTTTGTTTATTTTCTCGTATTTCCATGGGGAAGTGGAACAGAATTCTTCCTCTGTAAGTCATGTGTGTTGTAAGAGGCGACTAAAATGCTGGGAACAAGGGGCTAGTACCCCCTTCTCCTGTATATATTACTAAATTTAAAAGGAGAAACTTTCGTTTGTTCTTCTGGCCCACCCCACCTCAGTAGGATACGGCTGGTGCGTTGAAAGAAAGAAAAACTAGCAAGAAAATAGAAGAAAACCCCGACGGGTGTATATATATATACTTGTATATGCATGTGTAGTGTGAATTAAGTGTATGTAGAAGTAGCAAGACGTACCTGAAATCTTGCATGTTTCTTTCTTTCTTTCAACGCACCAGCCATATCCCACTGAGGTGGGGTGGCCCAATAGGAAAAGCGAAAGTTTTGCCTTTTAAATTTAGTAATATATACAGGAGAAGGAGCTACTAGCCCCTTGCTCCCGGTATTTTAGTCGCCTCTTATGACATGCATGGCTTACGGAGGAAGAATTCTGTTCCACTTCCCCATGGAAATAAGAGGAAATAAACAAGAACAAGTACTAGAAAGAAAATAAAAGAAAACCCAGAGGGGTGTGTATATATATGCTTGTAAATGTATGTGTAGTGTGACCTAAGTGTAAGTAGAAGTAGCAAGATGTACCTGAAATCTTGAATGTTTATGAGACAGAAAAAAAGAAGACACCAGCAATCCTACCATCAAGTAAAACAATTACAGGCTTTCATTTTACACTCACTTGGCAGGATGCTAGTACCTCCCTGGGCGGTTGCTGTCTACCAACCTACTAATGGTAGGTAAATATGTTAGGTAAATCCTAGGTAGTAGGTTAGTAGACAGCAACCACCCAGGGAGGTACTACCATCCTGCCAAGTGAGTGTAAAATGAAAGCCTGTAATTGTTTTACATGATGGTAGGATTGCTGGTGTCTTTTTTCTGTTTCATAAACATGCAAGACTACAGGTACGTCTTGCTACTTCTACTTACACTTGGGTCACATTACACTTTTTTTTTTCTTTTTTTAACAAACTGGCCGTATCCCACCAAGGCAGGGTGGCCCAAAAAGAAAAACGAAAGTTTCTCTTTTTAAAGTTAGTAATTTTTGCAAGGGAAGTGGTTACTAGCCCCTTGCCCCTGGCATACACATACATGTACAAGCATACATATATACACACCCCTCTGGGTTTTCTTCTATTTTCTTTCTAGTTCTTGTTCTTGTTTATTTCCTCTTATCTCCATGGGGAAGTGGAACAGAGTTCTTCCTCTGTAAGGCATGAGTGTTGTAAGAGGCGACTAAAATGTCGGGAGCAAGGGCCTAGTAACCCCTTCTCATGTATAAATTACTAAATTTAAAAAGAGAAACTTTTGTTTTTCTTTTCAGGCCACCCTGCCTTGGTGGGATATGGCCGGTTTGTTGAAAGAAGAATGTTAGGTAAATGGACACGGATGCAACTAATGTGACATTTTATTGTGGCAATGTTTTGCTCTCCAGGAGCTTTGACAAATCTCCTGGAGACAAATCACACTGTGACTTGTCAACGGCTCAAATAGGACTCAAACATCATCATAAGCTTCCCTCTTCTAAGGATTGGTTATGTGTTGTTCAGACTTAGCCAAGTGACTTTTATTCTTGATGTATATTCATTTATCATGACTTCTGTTATAGAGATATCCAAGTTGGAACAATGTATGGTAATAACCCATAAATTATAAACATTTGGAGAAAATATGTAGTATATAGCAGGCATGTGTCAGCATGTTAGATAGGAGTGAGTGGAGACAACTGGTTTTTGGGACCTGATGAGATGTTGGAGTGTGAGCAGGGTAATATTGTGTGAAGGGTTTCAGGGAAACCAGTTAGCTGGACTTAAGTCCTGGAGGTGGGAAGTAGAATGCCTACACTCTAAAGGAGAGGGTTGGGATATTTGCTGTTTAGAGGAACATCAGAACTGTTGTACCTGCATGCCTCTGGCAAGACATTGATAGTGAGAATGATGGTGAAAGTGTTTTTTCTTTCGGGTCACCATGCCTCAGTGGGAGACAGCCAGCATGTTAAAAAAAAATTAATTTGCTGTATTTATCTGCAAATTTTCAGGTGTGTGTCCTTGGCCACGTTGATCACGGGAAGACGAAAATCTTGGATAAATTGCGCCGCACTAATGTGCAGGAAGGTGAGGTCGGAGGTATTACTCAACAAATTGGTGCCACTAATGTTCCTGCACACGGGGTTCAGAGACAAACCCATATGGTTAAAGGTGTAAGTGTGTTACTTTGAACTTTATTTGTAATCTCGTACCATTTCTTGTACGTGTTTTTGAAATTATCAATTCTGCAGATAGCTTTTACTGTGTTCAAAATATCTAAATGCATTGTACATAATTATGTGCTGCATACTGTACCTAATTAGGTGGATACCTTACATTATTTTTTTATGAAGACAAGATTCAAGTTACAGAACAAGCTTTAATTGGGATGTGACTCACAAAATTATAATGACACGATTGCAAACAAACCATACCATGGGCGGGGATAGAACCCGCGATCAGAGAGTCTCAAAACTCCAGACCGTCACGTTAGCCACTGGACCAGCTAGACACAATAAGATTCGTCCAACTAGGTATATTTCTACACCACAGGAAGGTTAGCATAGGCACCACTGTGACCACAAATGCAAGTTTTTACAGACAAATCTCCAGCTAGCGTGGCCGTGACGATCTCTAGCTCAAGTCCCCTCAAAGCCGTCAACATGACTCATGAAATCGTAATGACATGATTGAAAACAAACCGTACCATGGGCAGAGATAGAACCCGTGATCAAAGAGTCTCAAAACTCCAGACCGTCGCGTTAGCCACTGGACCAGCTAGCCACAATAAGATTCGTCTAGCTGGTCCACTGGCTAACGCGACGGTCTGGAGTTTTGAGACACTCTGATCGCAGGTTCTATCCCCGCAAGTGGTATGGTTTAATTGGGACATTTCAGTTTCACAAATCACATCAGGTTGTGATTTATGAAACTTTACATAGGGAAAAATATTTTAAATAAAAGCTTGTTCCTCAAACTATATGTTTTCAATATTGTGAGCAGTATGCATATGACTTAAACAACATTTGTAAATTTACTGATGCAATATATTCAGTGTGGTGATTTCTCACTTTGTGATATTTCAGTTTGATATGAGTGTGTTGAAGTTTCCGGGGCTGTTGATCATCGACACACCTGGTCACGAATCTTTCAGCAATTTGCGTTCAAGAGGATCTTCTCTGTGTGATATTGCTATTCTAGTTGTTGATATCACTCAAGGCTTGGAGCCTCAAACTATAGAATCAATCAACCTCCTGAAAAAAAGAAAAACTCCATTTGTAGTTGCTTTAAATAAGGTAGACAGGTAAGACTTCATTAAATATTAGTACACAAATAATCCTCACACAGGAGAAAGAAGCTTGTGACACTGTTTTTGGTCCGACGGACCATTGACTAGTCAAGTCAGACTGAAACATTGTCACACGTTTTTCTCCCCTGGAGGTTACCTGGAGGTTATTCTGGGGATCAATGCCCCCGCGGCCCGGTCCATGACCAGGCCTCCCGGTGGATCAGGGCCTGATCAACTAGGCTGTTACTGCTGGCCGCACGCAGTCCATCGTACGAGCCACAGCCTGGCTGATCCGGCACTGACTTTAGGTATCTATCCAGCTCTCTCTTGAAGGCAGCCAGGGGTTTATTGGCAATTCCCCTAATGCTTGATGGGAGGCTGTTGAACAGTTTTGGGCCCCGGACACTTATGGTGTTTTCCCTTAGTGTACCAATGGCGCCCCTACTTTTTATTGGGGGCATTTTGCATCTCCTGCCCAGTCTTTTACTTTCGTTGGGAGTGTGCAGGTTATTTGTGTATTGTTTCAGTCATGGTATTGTACCTTTGTATTATTTTTAAATATTAATGATCTTTGATTAATGTACGCCAGTAGCATTGTCATATTTTCTTTTAAAAAACAAACACACTAAGAATGAAATTATGAAGTGCAATCAAAACAAATTGTTTTTCAAGATTATGTAAATAATGTTCCAAGTAGAGATTACAGTTCAGTAGATTAGATTAGGTTAGGTAAGGTTTGTCAGGAAACAGAACAATTGTTTCTTGACATGGATCTTAGTCATATGATGACCCACAGCTGGAACATTTGGTCATCTGACCGAGGCCTTCCGCTGGCTTACCATTCCACTGCTAAAAATTATGGTTATGATTATAACCATTAGATACTGTTGCTACACACACACAGTCCAATGATAGACTGAATGCATCAAACTCCAGACTGATGGACTGATTACCTTGTTCTCCTCCTCATCTTAAACCATTTTTATATGCACTAGGCTGAACAAGGCACTGGCTGGCAAAACATTTCCTCATTAAATATTTCCAAATGTTGCACAAGTGTCTTGTTCTTTAACTTCACTAAATAATACTGTTTAGAGTATAGGTGTCCTTCATTGTCTGCAGTAGATGTGTTTCAGTCCCATGGCTGCCAGATCATCAACACTTATTTTTTCATTACAGGGATATTTATTATGTTTTGTGAACCCCACAGATCACATAGGGCAAATATATATTGCACACAAGGAATTACTGGTAGAAATGGGGCATCGCATACAAGCAAGGTCAGTACTGTGAGGCCACATAAAGTGAGAGATTACTGTGTAAAGAGAGGGGAAACCTCCCTCTTGTTCATCAGACAGTTCCACTGTTTTCAGTGTCTTAGCATTTTGATAATTATTTTGCCAGCAAAGTGCTCTTTATCCAGGATATTGGAGCTACTCCCCACTTGGATCAGACCTGAGTACCTCCCATTCCCAGATCATTGTATGACCTACAGGTTTACTGCTAGCCATAAGAATACCACTGCTACTACTACTAATAATGATTGTTACTTTGTTCAGATTCTGTAAATATTTTATTTTTCAGAGTGTTTGAGTGGGAACCTAACTGCAACAAAGACATCCGTGATGTTATAAAGTTACAGAAAGAACCTGCTAAAAATGACTTTGAACGTAGAACTAAGGAAATTATCCAAGCTCTAAATATACAGGTTAGTTCCTTATGCATTTGCAAAATTATTCTCTAGGTTTACCTGTTGACGGTTGTTTGAATCATTATTCCTGCAGCCTGGTCTCTACCCAGACCACCGGGCTAAAACACTGATCACTGAGGCTGTTGGTGCTTACTATATGCAGTTCTGACACAGCTACCACAGCCGGACTTATCACAAAATTGCTTGATGGAGCTTGTCATTTTTGTTTTGTTTTGAAGACTAATGTTTTTCTGCAGTTCTCTCTATATATGAGAGATGTTGATAAAGCATTTAACCCTCTATGTCTGTTGAGTTTTCTTAGTTTGTCACTTGAGAGATGTTGATAAAGCATTTAACTCTCTATGTCTGTTGAGTTTTCTTAGTTTGTCACTTGAGAGATGTTGATAAAGCATTTAACCCTCTATGTCTGTTGAGTTTTCTTAGTTTGTCACTTGAGAGATGTTGATAAAGCATTTAACTCTCTATGTCTGTTGAGTTTTCTTAGTTTGTCACTTGAGAGATGTTGATAAAGCATTTAACCCTCTATGTCTGTTGAGTTTTCTTAGTTTGTCACTTGGACTGTTGTAGAGCATTTAACCTCTAATTCTGGGTTTAGTTTTTAGTTCATGCACTTAAAGATCTTGAATTAAAGCATTTAACCTCTGCTAATCGTTGATTATGTTACTTAGATTGTACTTGACCTTTTGAGGACTTTTTCTTTTTCACCTGGCCTCGGTTTGGGCCCGCTGTAAAAAAAAAAAAACTTCATACACATAAAGTCTTGACACCTTGCAAAAACCTATATTTGAATAAGATTTATTGATGATCATTTATTTTTTATTTCTTAGATTTGATGTGTTTATTTTTTTTCCCCTTGTCTTTCGTTTGAGACGGTCCGACTGTTGTGAAAAAAAACACTTCTCCTATACAACATTCACTTCCACCTCTCTTGAATAGATTTGCCTTTTTTTTCATGCATTAAGCTTTTTTCATTATCCTCTCTCAGTTTGAATCCTGATTCTTATTTTTTGATTTCCCCTTGCTACTTTCTTGAGATTTGGCATTTATCAGGACTCTGTGTGACACAGTCTGACTTGACATCAAATTCCTATGCTTTCCTCATATATCCAGGTTTGGCACATGTTTTTTAACCCAAACTTTTCTCATCACTTTACTAAGATTTACAATCCTAGATTTCCACTTTATACTCTAACTCTTTAACCCTGCACCCTTCCCAGTAGTTGAATTAAATGCCCTTCTATAAAACAGCATTCTGTGATCACTTAAAAGTCTGGAGCTGTTGGATATCTTTCTAGAAGGGCTAAATGCTTGAGTGACTAACTCCATATAGGTAGGTTTCTTCACATGGTGGCTTTGATTTAAATTATTGTGCTCGTTCCCTAGATTGACTGAAACCTTCGCATCCCACCTTTGTCGCTTATAATCTACGGTTTAGCTGCCCTCCCCAGTATTTATTTTCTTCTTTCAAAACAGCCTACTAGTGCAGGTGCCCAATAGAGAAGAAAATATCAGCTTTATAATTTGTAATTAAAAGGGGTGAACTAACCCCTTCCAGGTAGTTTTGATCTTAGGAGCACTCATGATTGGAGGAAGAATTCTGTTCCTTTCCCTGAGATGAGGAAATAACATAACAAACCCTGAGTGGCGATAACCTAGCGGTTATTACGCTTTCATGTATGTGTTTCCCGTTTTACAAACACCAATCTCTGTTACCAACACCGAATCGGTGGCCACAAAGAAAACAAAGTTCTTGCCTTTGCAATTTAGTAATATATACAGGAGAAGGGGTTACTAGCCCCTTGCTCCCGGTATTTTAGTCACCTCTTACAACACGCATGACTTACGGAGGAAGAATTCTGTTCCACTTCCCCATGGAGATAAGAGGAAATAAACAAGAACAAAAACTAGAAAGAAAATAGAAGAAAACCAAGAGGGGTGTGTATATACATGCTTGTACATGTATGTGTAGTGTAACCTAAGTGTAAGTAGAAGTAGCAAGACGTACCTGAAATCTTGCATGTTTATGAGACAGACAAAAGACACCAGCAATCCTACCATCATGCAAAACAAATACAGGCTTCCATTTTGCACTCACTTGGCAGGATGGTAGTACCTCCCTGGGTGGTTGCTGTCTACCAACCTACTACCACAGGATGGTAGTACCTCCCTGGGTGGTTGCTGTCTACCAACCTACTGCCACAGGATGGTAGTACCTCCCTGGGTGGTTGCTGTCTACCAACCTACTACCACAGGATGGTAGTACCTCCCTGGGTGGTTGCTGTCTACCAACCTACTACCACAGGATGGTAGTACCTCCCTGGGTGGTTGCTGTCTACCAACCTACTACCACAGGATGGTAGTACCTCCCTGGGTGGTTGTTGTCTACCAACCTACTACCACAGGATGGTAGTACCTCCCTGGGTGGTTGCTGTCTACCAACCTACTACCACAGGATGGTAGTACCTCCCTGGGTGGTTGTTGTCTACCAACCTACTACCACAGGATGGTAGTACCTCCCTGGGTGGTTGCTGTCTACCAACCTACTACCACAGGATGGTAGTACCTCCCTGGGTGGTTGCTGTCTACCAACCTACTACCACAGGATGGTAGTACCTCCCTGGGTGGTTGCTGTCTACCAACCTACTACCACAGGATGGTAGTACCTCCCTGGGTGGTTGTTGTCTACCAACCTACTACCACAGGATGGTAGTACCTCCCTGGGTGGTTGCTGTCTACCAACCTACTACCACAGGATGGTAGTACCTCCCTGGGTGGTTGTTGTCTACCAACCTACTACCACAGGATGGTAGTACCTCCCTGGGTGGTTGCTGTCTACCAACCTACTACCACAGGATGGTAGTACCTCCCTGGGTGGTTGCTGTCTACCAACCTACTACCACAGGACGGTAGTACCTCCCTGGGTGGTTGCTGTCTACCAACCTACTACCACAGGACGGTAGTACCACCCTGGGTGGTTGCTGTCTACCAACCTACTACCACAGGATGGTAGTACCTCCCTGGGTGGTTGCTGTCTACCAACCTACTACCACAGGATGGTAGTACCTCCCTGGGTGGTTGCTGTCTACCAACCTACTACCACAGGATGGTAGTACCTCCCTGGGTGGTTGCTGTCTACCAACCTACTACCACAGGATGGTAGTACCTCCCTGGGTGGTTGCTGTCTACCAACCTACTACCACAGGATGGTAGTACCTCCCTGGGTGGTTGCTGTCTACCAACCTACTACCACAGGATGGTAGTACCTCCCTGGGTGGTTGTTGTCTACCAACCTACTACCACAGGATGGTAGTACCTCCCTGGGTGGTTGCTGTCTACCAACCTACTACCACAGGACAGTAGTACCTCCCTGGGTGGTTGTTGTCTACCAACCTACTACCACAGGATGGTAGTACCTCCCTGTGTGGTTGTTGTCTACCAACCTACTACCACAGGATGGTAGTACCTCCCTGGGTGGTTGCTGTCTACCAACCTACTACCACAGGATGGTAGTACCTCCCTGGGTGGTTGTTGTCTACCAACCTACTACCACAGGATGGTAGTACCTCCCTGGGTGGTTGCTTTTCTACCAACCTACTACCACAGGACGGTAGTACCTCCCTGGGTGGTTGTTGTCTACCAACCTACTACCACAGGATGGTAGTACCTCCCTGAGTGGTTGCTGTCTACCAACCTACTACCACAGGATGGTAGTACCTCCCTGGGTGGTTGTTGTCTACCAACCTACTACCACAGGATGGTAGTACCTCCCTGGGTGGTTGCTGTCTACCAACCTACTACCTATTTTCCCCATGATTATAATTATAAAAATAAACACTGTCATAAACACTGATGAAATTGAAAAACACTTAGAAATATAAATACACATAAAAAGAAATCTGTATATATCAGGATAATAGTAATATCAAAAAAAGTAATACGTACAAGAGAGAGAGAACTTACCAGGTACTAGGTATTACATCTAGTGTTTAGCAGGCGGGCAATCAAGCCTCCACCCTTCCTCAGGCTGAGTGGCCCACATGGGTTTAGCACTTCTCATAAATACTGTAGTTGTCACACCAGAAATGGATCCCTTTACTTAGCCATCCATGTCTGAAAAGTGGCTACTAAATTATTAATCAAGTTGCATTTACTAGAGAAGCACTTGATAAATATCTTTCAACAAACGGGCCGTATCTCACCGAGGCAGGGTGTCCTAAAAAGAAAGAAAAACCCAAAAACTTTCATCATTCTGCACTTTCACCATCACTCATACATAATTACTGTCCTTGCAGAGGCGCTCAGATACGACAGTTTAGATGTCCCTCCAAACTGCCAATATCCCAAACCCCTTCTTAAAGTGCAGGCATTGTACGTCCCATTTCCAGGACTCGAGTCTGACTCACCAGAATATATATTTTTCTCACAGGGATTGAATGCTGCCTTGTTCTGGGAGAACCCAGATCCTCGTTCCTATGTTTCTCTAGTGCCCACTAGTGCCATCTCTGGTGATGGAATGGGTAACTTAATAGCTATGGTGTGTGATATGTGCCAACAGAGATTAAACAAGAGATTAATGTTCTCTGAAGAACTCCAGGTATGTATTGAGCATATTTATATTAACTAATTATTTTTCAGCCTACTGAATATCATAAGCCTCCATTAATTATCATTAAGCTATATGAACTCAGATTAAGAAATAAATGGTATAAAATACCAACACAATGGAAATATAAACACTTAAGCAGTATAATGTGATCCTTTATTGACGTTTCGCCCACACAGTGGGCTTTATCAAGATCCGTTTGTGACTTAATAAATCCCACTGTGTGGGCGAAACGTTGTCAGTAAAGGATCACATTATACTGCTTAAGTGTTTATATTTTCAACTCAGATTAGGTTGTAATTCACAACTGTTGATGAATAAACACAAGGGTGGATCAGGTGCTCAAACCGTGGTCTGTAAATTGACAGTAATTATTCCCTCTGAATCCTTCTTATTAGAGGCCTGGGTTAGCCTAGACGGTAGAGCAGCAGCTGTCAATATATGGACTGCGGTTCAAGCCCCTCGTCCACCCTTCTGTTTCTTCTTAGGCTATACATATTTTAAATATTTGTTAAACATGTTCATATATAGAATAGTTTCTGCTATAAATAAGGGATTCAGGAAGTACGATGAGCTGGATTGAAGTCCTGGAAGTGGGCAAGAGAGAGAGTGAATGAGTGAGTGTGTGAGTGAGTGTGTAAGTACTCGCCTAATTGTGGTTGAAGGGGTCGAGACTTAGCTCCTGGCCCCGCCTCTTCACTGATTGCTACTAGGTTCTCTCTCTCTCTCTCAGCTTCCTTAGCTTTATCATACCTCTTCTTAAAACTATGTATGGTTCCTGCCTCCACTACTTCACATGCTAGGCTATTCCACTTCCTGACGACTCTATGACTGAAGAAATATTTCCTAACGTCCTGTGACTCGTCCGAGTCTTCAGCTTCCAGTTGTGACCCCTTGTTCCTGTGTCCCCTCTCTGGAACATCCTATCTCTGTCCACCTTGTCTATTCCCCACAGTATCTTGTATGTCGTTATCATGTCTCCCCTGACCCTTCTGTCCTCCAGTGTCGTCAGTCCGATTTCCCTCAACCTTTTCTCGTACGACATCCCCCTGAGCTCTGGGACTAGCCTTGTTGCAAACCTTTGTACTTTCTCTAACTTCTTGACGTGCTTGACCAGGTGTGGATTCCAGACTGGTGCTGCATACTCCAGTATGGGCCTAACATACACAGTGTACAGTGACTTGAACGATTCCTTATTAAGGTATCGGAACGCTATTCTCAGGTTTGCCAGGCGCCCATATGCTGCAGCAGTTATTTGGTTGATGTGTGCCTCCGGTGACGTGCTCGGTGTTATGGTCACCCCAAGGTCTTTCTCCCTGAGTGAGGTCTGTAGTCTTTGTCCACCTAGCCTATACTCTGTCTGCGGTCTTCTTTGCCCCTCCCCAATCTTCATGACTTTGCATTTGGCAGGATTGAATTCGAGAAGTCAGTTTCTGGACCACATGTCCAGCCTGTCCAGGTCTCTTTGCATTCCTGCCTCATCCTTATCCGATTTAATTCTTCTCATCAACTTCACATCATCTGCGAATAGGGACACTTCAGAGTCTATTCCTTCCATCATGTCGTTCGCATATATCAAAAATAGCACTGGCCCTAGAACTGACCCCTGTGGGACCCCGCTCGTCACAGGCGCCCACTGCGATACCTCGTCACGTACCATGACTCATTGCTGCCTCCCTGTCAGGTATTCCCTGATCCATTGCAGTGCCCTCCCTGTTACATGCGCCTGATCCTCCAGCTTCTGCACTAATCTCTTGTGGGGAACTGTGTCAAAGGCCTTTCTGCAGTCTAGGAAAACGCAATCAACCCACCCCTCTCTCTCGTGTTACCTTGTCATAAAACTCCAGGAGGTTTGTGATACAAGTGTGTGAGTAAGTGTGTGTGTGTGTGTAAGTGTGTGTGTACTCACCTAGTTGTACTCACCTAGTTGAGGTTGCGGGGGTCGAGTCCGAGCTCCTGGCCCCGCCTCTTCACTGATCGCTACTAGGTCACTCTCCCCGAGCCGTGAGCTTTATCATACCTCTGCTTAAAGCTATGTATGGATCCTGCCTCCACTACATCGCTTCCCAAACTATTCCACTTACTGACTACTCTGTGGTTGAAGAAATACTTCCTAACATCCCTGTGATTCATCTGTGTCTTTAGCTTCCAACTGTGTCCCCTTGTTACTGTGTCCAATCTCTGGAACATCCTGTCTTTGTCCACCTTGTCAATTCCCCTCAGTATTTTGTATGTCGTTATCATGTCCCCCCTATCTCTCCTGTCCTCCAGTGTCGTCAGGTTGATTTCCCTTAACCTCTCCTCGTAGGACATACCTCTTAGCTCTGGGACTAGTCTTGTTGCAAACCTTTGCACTTTGCAGCAGTTATTTGGTTGATGTGCGCTTCAGGAGATGTGCCTGGTGTTATACTCACCCCAAGATCTTTTTCCTTGAGTGAGGTTTGTAGTCTCTGACCCCCTAGACTGTACTCCGTCTGCGGCCTTCTTTGCCCTTCCCCAATCTTCATGACTTTGCACTTGGTGGGATTGAACTCCAGGAGCCAATTGCTGGACCAGGTCTGCAGCCTGTCCAGATCCCTTTGTAGTTCTGCCTGGTCTTCGATCGAGTGTATTCTTCTCATCAACTTCACGTCATCTGCAAACAGGGACACCTCAGAGTCTATTCCTTCCGTCATGTCGTTCACAAATACCAGAAACAGCACTGGTCCTAGGACTGACCCCTGCGGGACCCCGCTGGTCACAGGTGCCCACTCTGACACCTCGCCACGTACCATGACTCGCTGCTGTCTTCCTGACAAGTATTCCCTGATCCATTGTAGTGCCTTCCCTGTTATCCCTGCTTGGTCCTCCAGTTTTTGCACCAATCTCTTGTGTGGAACTGTGTCAAACTCCTTCTTGCAGTCCAAGAATATGCAATCCACCCACCCCTCTATTGTCTTACTGCTGTCACCATGTCATAGAACTCCAGTAGGTTTGTGACACAGGATTTCCCGTCCCTGAAACCATGTTGGCTGCTGTTGATGAGATCATTCCTTTCTAGGTGTTCCACCACTCTTCTCCTGATAATCTTCTCCATGATTTTGCATACTATACATGTCAGTGACACTGGTCTGTAGTTTAATGCTTCATGTCTGTCTCCTTTTTTAAAGATTGGGACTACATTTGCTGTCTTCCATGCCTCAGGCAGTCTCCCTGTTTCGATAGATGTATTGAATATTGTTGTTAGGGGTACACGTAGTGCCTCTGCTCCCTCTCTCAATACCCATGGGGAGATGTTATCTGGCCCCATTGCCATTGAGGTATCTAGCTCACTCAGAAGCCTCTTCACTTCTTCCTCGGTTGTGTGCACTGTGTCCAGCACATGGTGGTGTGCCCCACCTCTCCGTCTTTCTGGAGTCCCTTCTGTCTCCTCTGAACACCTCTTTGAATCTCTTGTTGAGTTCCTCACGTACTTCACTGTCATTTCTTGTTGTCTCTCCTCCTTCCTTCCTTAGCCTGATTACCTGGTCCTTGACTGTTGTTTTCCTCCTGATGTGGCTGTACAACAGTTTCGGGTCAGATTTGGCTTTCGCTGCTATGTCATTTTCATATTGTCTTTGGGCCTCCCTTCTTATCTGTGCATGTGTGTGTGTGTGTGTGTGTGTGTGTGTGTGTGTGTGTGTGTGGTGTGTGTTTGTGTGTGTGTTGTGTGTGGGTGTGTGTGTGTGTTTGCTTGTTTGCACTATGAAAGGGTGGGGTCACCCTCCCACCTTGGCAGGGTGACCTGAAAAGGAAGAAATATAAAGTTTTTCTTCTTTTTACATTTAGTAATTTATGCAGAAGGGGTTAATATATACTCTAATTTTATTATTTTTATTTTTTTTAATAACTTTAACTATCATTCACACCATCACTGTCTTGCCAGAGGCATGTACATATGACACTTTAGATGTCCCTCTAAATAGCAAATATCCCAAAACCCTCATTTAGAGTACTTTAGATGTCCCTCTAAATAGCAAATATCCCAAAACCCTCATTTAGAGTACTTTAGATGTCCCTCTAAATAGCAAATATCCCAAAACCCTCATTTAGAGTGCAGACACTGTACTTCACACCTCCAGGACTCAAGTCCAAGTAACTAATTTTCCCTGAATCCCTTCACAAAATATTACCTTGCTCACATAAAATTAAAAACACACCTTGGGTCGAGGGACAGCGCTGCATCAACTAATCTTTCCAATTTTCTTACTGACTTGTAGTGCACCGTCCTAGAAGTGAAGACAATCCAGGGTCATGGCACAACTATCGATGTGATCCTGGTGAATGGTAGACTACGAGAAGGAGATACTATAATTTTAGCTGGTACTGAAGGCCCCATCGTTACTCAAATCAGGTAAAAACCAAAGTTTGGTTAACCTGAAGTTTTGCCTCATTATATTGAAGAGTGAAATAAAAGTTGCACAAATTTTTAGATAGGTAAAGTCCATTATGTTATTTTATTACATAAATTTTACATAAATTTTTGGTTTGGGATATTGGCAGTTTGGAGTGACGTCTAAACTTTCGTATCTGAGTGCCTCTGCAAATACAGTGATTATGCATGCATGATGGTGTAAATATTGAATTATGATGAAAATTTTTTCTTTCTTTTTGTTTTTTTTTCTTTTTGGGTTTTTCTTTCTTTTTGGTTCACACTGCCTCGGTGGGAAGCGGCCACCGTGTTAAAAAAAAAAATCTGCAAAGGTGAATTAGGTTGCTATGTTTCAATGAAAATAGAAAAAAAAAATTTCTTAACTACATTTTTGGCACTATAAGATCCATTTTTCTTGGATGGTAAACAACTCTCCCAAAATTCCAGATTTTGTGGCTAGTACTATCTCTGTTTTTTCCCGTTTGTCTAGATATTATTGAATAGGATTACAATATTTTTTTTTTAAGGAGTGTTGGTAATGGGAGTATATTATTTATTACAGATCTTTACTTTTACCAAAACCATTAAAAGAAATCAGAGTAAAAGGTCAGTACGATGAATTCAAAGAAGTTGCCGCTGCTCAGGGTGTAAAAATTGCTGCTCGCGACCTGGAGAAAGCAATCGCTGGCCTTAATCTTCAAGTTGCATACCATGAAGATGAAATTGATCTGCTAAAGGAAGAGGTGGATAAGGAATTCAAGGCTGCAATGAGGTCCATAAAGGTAAATGTTTTGTCAAATAGGTGCTCCTTGACTTATGATGGGGTTACGTTGCAATGAACCCATTGTAAGTTGAATATGAGTGCAGGAGAGCCCTGCATGTACAGCACTTAATTTCAGTATTCCACATGTTCATTGGCTTTCAATTGAGACATTGTTCCATTCACCGGTGACAATTACCAGCAGGTGGAACATAATGAACAGTGGCTCAAATTGAATCCATTGGAACACCAAAAAGGTGGCGTATGTGTGGGTCCCTCCTGCATGTCATTAGTAAATAAGTAAATAACTATACTGTCACTTAATAAGTAAATAAACAGTTTCTTTAACTAAATACCAGTATTGAAAAGTAAATGAATGAATGCAAGTTTATCCTATCAGTAAATGTACAGTACTGTACAGTCCAGAATGTGCATCGCTATTGCACCATCGTAAAGTCAAAATATTGTAAGTCAGACCATCATAAAGTGAGGAGTATCTGTATAGAATTTATGAATGAGTTTTTGGGGCTTGAACATCCATCAAAAATATGTGACAGTGTTAGGTAGGAGTGAATAATGAAAAGTAGTTTTTAAGAGATATGCTGTTGGAGTGTGAGCAAAATAACATTATGAAGGGATTCAGAGAACCAGTTAGCTGGCCTTGAGTTCTGGAGGTGGGAAGTAGTGTCTGCACTTTAAAGGAGGGGTGGGGGTATTTGCTGCTTGGAGGGACATTTGACCATGTCGTATTTTATGCGCCTCTGGCAAGACAGTGATAGTGTGAATGATGGTGACTGTGTTTCTTTTTTGTATCACCTTACCTTGGTGGAAGACAGTGTGTTAAAAAACTCCTCTCCAATACATTAATATCATAGTGGCTGAGGGCAAGGTTTGCTTTAGTTTTATTGATTTAGTGTTACGTGTTTACTGTATCATATGTAATAATAAACACTTAAATTTCAGGTGAAGGAGCGAGGTGTTTATGTTCAAGCTTCAACTTTAGGTGCCTTAGAAGCCCTCCTTGAATTTTTCAAGGCTAACAGTGTGCCATATTCTGGCATCCGTGTTGGTCCGGTCGTAAAGAGAGATGTGATGAAGGCAGCAGCTATGTTGGAGCACGACCCCATGTATGCAGTCATTCTTGCCTTTGATGTAAAAGTAGAGAAAGATGCTCAAGAATTGGCTGATAAGGTAAGTGTTTGATCCCTGGGGCAATTCATTCATTCATCATTGGTGTATGTTCTTAACATTTCTGTACACTTTGCTGCCAGTTCGTTAGTTCATGCTGTGAACATCCATATACACTTCTGTCACTTTATTGGTGTAAGAAAAAGTGCCAAAAGTTAAATAGTACTTAGTTCTTTACAAATAGTTGACAACAGATATGCTGGGGTTGAATTCAAGCAATCACTTACCTGACTAATCTTGCAGTTTGTGCAGATCCACTTGCAGTGTTTCCCTGTTCTCTTCCTTTTTATGTTCTTCTCATCAGTTTATTATAAGCAAATGGACAAATCTGACTCGGGATGCCACAATACTGAGGCGCCCTGCTCGTTACACTTCCCTGTTCTGACATCTCTCCCCTTATGATCACTCTTTGCCACCTTCCTCTGAGATACTTCGTATGGCCCTTGTGGGTTTTAGCACTTAGTTTTGATTATAATACTAATAATCTGAGATACTCTTTCGATCCACTGGAGTACAGTCCCTGTTATTCTTGTCTGACCTCAAGTTTTTGCCCCAGTTTCATGTTGGGTACTGTATCAGATGCCTTATTGCAGTCGACCCAACTCTCTCCTGTCTCACTTCAATTACTTTGTCATAGAATTCCAACAGGTTGGTGAGACAGGATTTACCATATCTGAACCTGTGCTGGTTACTCTTTATAAGCCCCTTTACCAGTGCTCTTACCACTTTCCTTCTGACTGTTTTCTCCATTATCTTGCAAGGTATGCATGTCAACAAAACTGGCCTATAGTTCAACAGTTCCTGCCTATCTTCATTCTTGAATATAGGTACTACATTTTCTTCTAGATCTGTGTTCACTGACTTGTAGATTTCAGCTAGACAGGTGAAATTAGATAAAAATCGGATGTCACATGAAGTGAGGTAAATCTATACCAGTGTTATTAGAGTTATGACTGTAAGCAAATGGTATTCAAGTTCATTTGGTATAACTATGTTGTATAAAAATTTAATACACTTGTATTTTAAGAATTAATGACTTTCAGGAAGGGGTGAAAATTTTCTCCGAGGAAACCATATACCATCTGGGAGACCGTTACGTAGAATATATAAAGGAATACAAGAGGAAAAAGCAGGAGGAATTCCGAAGTGTTGCCGTCTTCCCTTGTCGACTAAAGATAATTCCAGCGGTGAGTTGGAAATACAGTACTATGTGGGGCTGGGAATTTGTGAGCAAAGTAACATTTATGAAGAGATTCAGGGAAACTGGTTAGCCGGACTTGAATCCTGGAGGTGGGAAGTACAGTGCCTGCATTCGAAGGGAAAAGGTGGAGATACTTGCAGTTGTGAACTGTAATGTTGGTGCACCTCTGGCAAGACAGTGATGGAGTGAGTGATGGTGAGTGTTTCTTCTTTTTTGGGTCAACCTGCCTTGGTGGGAGACAGCTGGCTTGTTGTGGGTACTCATTTTTCTTAACTTTCTTCTTCTTTCAACAAACCAGCGATATCCCACTGAGGGAGGGTGGCCCAAAAAGAAAGACAAAAGTTTCTCTTTTTAACTTCAGTAATGTATACAGGAGAAGGGGTTACTAGCCCCTTGCTCCCAGCATTTTAGTCGCCTCTTATGACACGCATGGTTTTTCTTAACCTACCTGGTCCAAAGTAGCCATTGCTCTTAGATTCAGTACACCGAGCAAGATTTGCTGATCCAAACCTGCTATGTTTGATAGTTCGTCAGCTTTTATTTTTTAAGTATTTTATCAAATTTTATTGCCTTTTATTTCATTGAGGTATATTACAATAAATGTGCTTCACCCTTATATTTTCTTTCTTAAATGTTATTAAAACTACATTACATATGTTAGTTTAATTGAGGTTAAGCCATAGTAACTATATTGAAATATTTTAAATCTTCATATGTAAACTTTCCATATAAATTCATTACATATATAGCTTTTACATATACTTAATACAGTGCAGTATAAATTTATTAAGCATGAACAAACAACCTTATTTTACTCTAGATTTTAAACTAACTATGCCTATCTGGGTTTCAGGCAATTTTTAACAAACGTGATCCAATTGTATTGGGTGTGACTGTGGACGCCGGCATACTTAGAACAGGCACACCTCTCTGTGTCCCAACAAAGGAGGTAAACGTGTACTTACAACACATCTCCAACTTACAAATCAAGTTGTAGTTGTAGTGTTTCAACTTACAAATGAGTTGTATTTCTAGTGTTTCAACTTACAAATGAGTTGTATTTCTGGTGTTTCAGCTTCAGAAGAATTACTTGTATGGAAAATGCTAATACAGAGACTTTAATGTGTGACATATTGCAGCTTTGTGGTTACAGAAATTTAATTTGTTCCAAAGTGTCCTGTTTGTAAGTATGGACATTTGTAACTCGAGCAGTTTGTAAATTGAAGACTTGTTTAGTAAACTGGTGTTGATGAATGACTGTGTCTAGTAAATGCTTATTCATGGAAGAAGGTCAAGCCTTTAACTTGCCATTAAATGTTACTTTTGATGGAGGAATCACTCATTGTTTGTCAATTTATTCAGATGAGAGAAAGCAGCCTTGTATCATTCTAAAGATATTTTTATATTTTCAAGTGCATGACGCATAGTTTTTGGGACCTTATGAATGTTGGAGTGTGAGGAGGGTAATATTTTGTGAAGGGATTCAGGGAAACTGGTTAGCCGGACTCGAGTCCTGGAGGTCGGATATTGGCTGTTTGGAGTGATATCTAATCTGTCGTATCTGAGCACCTCTGCAAGGACGGTGATTATGTATGAATGATGGTGAGTGTTTCTTTTTTGGGTCACCCTGCCTTTGTGGGAGAGGGCCAGTATGCTAATAAAAAAGAATTATTAAAATATTTATTCACTATCATCTTTTAGGAGTGAAGAAGAGCAGAATGTAAGTGTGGGGGAGGTACGTGAGGCATTACGTAGAATGAAAGGGGGTAAAGCAGCTGGAACTGATGGGATCATGACAGAAATGTTAAAAGCAGGGGGGGATATAGTGTTGGAGTGGTTGGTACTTTTGTTTAATAAATGTATGAAAGAGGGGAAGGTACCTGGGGATTGGCAGAGAGCATGTATAGTCCCTTTATATAAAGGGAAGGGGGACAAAAGAGATTGTAAAAATTATAGAGGAATAAGTTTACTGAGTATACCAGGAAAAATGTACGGTAGGGTTATAATTGAAAGAATTAGAGGTAAGACAGAATGTAGGATTGCGGATGAGGGAGGCTTCAGAGTGGGTAGGGGATGTGTAGATCAAGTGTTTACATTGAAGCATATATGTGAACAGTATTTAGATAAAGGTAGGGAAGTTTTTATTGCATTTATGGATTTAGAAAAGGCATATGATAGAGTGGATAGAGGAGCAATGTGGCAAATGTTGCAAGTATATGGAATAGGTGGTAAGTTACTAAATGCTGTAAAGAGTTTTTATGAGGATAGTGAGGCTCAGGTTAGGGTGTGTGAAGAGAGGGAGACTACTTCCCGGTAAAAGTAGGTCTTAGACAGGGATGTGTAATGTCACCATGGTTGTTTAATATATTTATAGATGGGGTTGTAAAAGAAGTAAATGCTAGAGTGTTCGAGAGAGGGGTGGGATTAAATTATGGGGAATCAAATTCAAAATGGGAATTAACACAGTTACTTTTTGCTGATGATACTGTGCTTATGGGAGATTCTAAAGAAAAATTGCAAAGGTTAGTGGATGAGTTTGGGAATGTGTGTAAAGGTAGAAAGTTGAAAGTGAACATAGAAAAGAGTAAGGTGATGAGGGTATCAAATGATTTAGATAAAGAAAAATTGGATATCAAATTAGGGAGGAGGAGTATGGAAGAAGTGAATGTTTTCAGATACTTGGGAGTTGACGTGTCGGCGGAAGGATTTATGAAGGATGAGGTTAATCATGGAATTGATGAGGGAAAAAAGGTGAGTGGTGCATTGAGGTATATGTGGAGTCAAAAAATGTTATCTATGGAGGCAAAGAAGGGAATGTATGAAAGTATAGTAGTACCAACACTCTTATATGGATGTGAAGCTTGGGTGGTAAATGCAGCAGCGAGGAGACTGTTGGAGGCAGTGGAGATGTCCTGTCTAAGGGCAATGTGTGGTGTAAATATTATGCAGAAAATTCGGAGTGTGGAAATTAGGAAAAGGTGTGAAGTTAATAAAAGTATTAGTCAGAGGGCAGAAGAGGGGTTGTTGAGGTGGTTTGGTCATTTAGAGAGAATGGATCAAAGTAGAATAACATGGAAAGCATATAAAGCTATAGGGGAAGGAAGGCGGGGTAGGGGTCGTCCTCGAAAGGGTTGGAGAAAGGGGGTAAAGGAGGTTTTGTGGGTGAGGGGCTTGGACTTCCAGCAAGCGTGCGTGAGCGTGTTAGATAGGAGTGAATGGAGACGAATGGTACTTGGGACCTGACGATCTGTTGGAGTGAGAGCAGGGTAATATTTAGTGAAGGGATTCAGGGAAACCGGTTATTTTCATATAGTCGGACTTGAGTCCTGGAAATGGGAAGTACAATGCCTGCACTTTAAAGGAGGGGTTTGGGATATTGGGATATGTTGTGTATCTTTATACGTATATACTTCTAAACTGTTGTATTCTGAGCACCTCTGCAAAAACAGTGATAATGTGTGAGTGTGGTGAAAGTGTTGAATGATGATGAAAGTATTTTCTTTTTGGGGATTTTCTTTCTTTTTTGGGTCACCCTGCCTCGGTGGGAGACGGCCGACTTGTTGAAAAAAAAAAAATTTAATTCACTCTGCTTATCTGACTTGTCGTGTTTTCTTTTCAGTTTGTGGAAATCGGTATAGTGACATCTATGGAGTTTGACCATAAAAACGTTGATCTGGCTAAGAAAGGTGTAGATGTATGTATCAAGATTGAACCTGTCCCGGGCAACACACCTAAACTCTTCGGTCGACATTTTGAGGTGGAAGACAAGCTGGTTAGCAAGATTTCTCGTGAGTCAATAAACGCATGTAAAGACCATTTTAGAGATGATCTCAGCAAAACTGACTGGAAACTGATGGCTGAGTTGAAAAAGGAATTCGAAATTCTTTAAACGTGTCGTAATATAGCGAAAACCTGAGTTACGTTATGTCGATATATGAATTTTTATATTGTCTGCGACTTAATGTATTCTTGTTAGTAAATTGATAAATGAGCACTTCCAGAGGAAAACATTGATCAACAGCTTATGCAGATTTACTTACCGTATTGTCTGGCATGTAAGGCGCACGATGTTTCCAAGCAGTTGTAATATAACATTAGTAAACAACTGCTAAAGTGTAACACAAAGCCTACCCTTGACCCTGACCTTGAGCATATAAGATGCAGGCTGATTTTCCAAGACACTTTTGGGGGAAAAGCGCACCTTGCATGCCAGAAAATACGGCATGTTTTCATTTTGCATCCTAAATTAATGGCTGTAATAAGGTTTGTGGACCAAAGTTGAAATGTATTTTGACTGTATTCCATCAACTACATTGTATCAAAGTTACAGCTGGTACTTATATCTGAGTTATGCAGAGGAGTGACCATCATGTTGACACGCAATCACCTTTTAAGTATTACTGTAATTACTGGTTTTATGGAAGAGAATCAAATAAAATTTTATGTAAAAAGCATTAAAATTTTAAGTCATTTTGGTTTTTATAAAATGTTGAGAGGGGGGAAAATTCCATTTATAATATCTGATATGCTTCCCTTGTTCTTATTAACCAAGGCCAATACTAAATAATATATATGGTATGGTTCCAATTGCTTGTTTGGAATTTTTTTAATATATAAATTTATTTAATAAAAAGCTGTTTTTCTGAGTGTAATACTATTTTTTTCAACATATTGACCGTCTCCCACCGAGGCAGGGTGGCCTAAAAAGAAAAACTAAAGTTTTTCTTTTTAGTTTTTCTTTTTGGTCGCCTCTTATGACACGACTTACGGAGGAAAGGTTCTTGTCCACTTTCCCATTAATTAACATATTCCATAAACTCTTGGTTATTTACAAAGTTAAGAAATTCGGTATTGATGTGTTGTGACCAGTATGTTGTGTCTGAGAGCTTATTCTGGCCTCTTTGAACTGTGGGAATGATAAATATTTTTTCTTTGCATAAATTGATATTCCATTGTAAAAAGGATTCTGAAGGAGTGCTTGAAATTTTTCAAAGAATTGATAGGAAAAATGAGCATTAAAATAGGACATGGGAAATCACTTATGAAAAGGCAAGTGCTGGCGCAGGCACTATACATAATGTTTTTTATTTTTTTTTTTCACACTGGCCAATTCCCACCAAGGCAGGGTGGCCCGAAAAAGAAAAACTTTCACCATCATTCACTCCATCACTGTCTTGCCAGAAGGGTGCTTTACACTACAGTTTTTAAACTGCAACATTAACACCCCTCCTTCAGAGTGCAGGCACTGTACTTCCCATCTCCAGGACTCAAGTCCGGCCTGCCGGTTTCCCTCAACCCCTTCATAAATGTTACTTTGCTCACACTCCAACAGCATGTCAAGTATTAAAAACCATTTGTCTCCATTCACATAATGTATTACAAAGTAATACTTAATAGATGTGGCATAAGAGCAGAGCTTTTATAGTAAGACAGTATGTTGAGTAAACCTTTATTTTGCTCAGAGCTGTATAACCCTTGTGTCTTAGCGCTTTTTGATTATAATAATAATAATTTTTTTATTATAATAATATTTATTTTGCTCTGAATAGCTTTATTAACCCTTTCAGGGTCCGTCCCGTAGATCTACGGCTTTACGGTGAGTGTCCAAACCGTAGATCTACGCCATGAGCTCAGCTCACTCTGATAAACTGTGAGTGGTACATTTGGGCCTAGATATGAGAGAATACATCTATGTGGTATGTGTGCACCACATAAAACAGATCCTGCAGCACACTGTGTATAATGAGAGAAAAAAACTGAAATCATGATTTTTCGATTAAAACAGCAACTTTGCAGTGTTTTTTCGTATGTTTTTTATAGTTGTATTTGCGATTTCTTGGTCTCATTTGATAGAATGGAAGACATATTACAGAAATAGAGATGATTTTCATTGGTTTTAGCACTGGAAATGGCTTGAAACTGAGCTCAAAATAGCGGAAATGTTAAATTTTTGCCGATATTCAAGAGTAAACAAACGACCTAACACGTCTAATACACGTCAGCTGGTGGGTCTAATATACATTCACAAATATGTTGATGATATTTATACAATTATTACAGTATTGCATAACAGTAAATCTTTTATTTTTTGGTGTGAATAAAAATTCATTATGTGAATAAAAAATCAAAATGGAATTTATTTGTAAAGCCTCAAAACATAACTAATGAACAGAGGAAATGTTAGTTTAGTGCCAGGAATGCCTACATTGTTTATTCTGGACCCTATTTTGAAATTGGAATATTTTGAACTTTGTATTAAATTGGCCAAATTAACAATTTCCGATCACTTTATTTTGTAGTTGAAACAGTTGACTTGGCGATTTCCTGTGCTCAATCGATAGAATAGAAGTAATACTAGTGAAATAGCTAAGAATTTGGTTGATTGGAATAATGTAATTGGCCTAAAATGGGAGTCAAAGTCGGCAAAATCGCCGATTCATAAACATCGCTGACACATCAAAATTCGCGAGAGCATAATTTCGTCAATTTTCCACCAAATTTCGTGCTTTTTGTTTTATTACCTTCACAAAAAGATTCTCTACGATTTCATAAGAAAAAATAACAAATTTTTTTTTTTTAAATTCTTGGACACTGGTGCGTGACTCCAGATTTGGGCCTTGGACCCTGAAAGGGTTAAGTCAATTGATTAAGCTCTACTTAGAGCAAAATTTTTTTTTTTAACACATCAGCCGTTTCCCATCAGGGTAGAGTGACCAGAAAAAGAAAAACTTTCACTGTCATTCACTCCTAGGTCTAATATGTAAATCAAGTTTTGCTATGCATAGTATCCTGCCTTTCAAAGCAGACCTATCAGTTGTAAAGGCAATCCGCTTTTGCACGAGTATAAATGTATGGGCTTGTTTTTTTTTTTCAATTTATCTGTCAGTTGTTTGACAGTACGTATTTGTTTTTCATGACTTGCAAAATCATAACACGAGTGTAAGCAACCTATGGAATAGATAGGATTCAAAACCACTGGCATGTTAATTTTTAGACTGGTTAAAAATTGAGTTGCATCTTATCCCTTCAATGAGTATTCATGTTTGTTATTTGTAAATTAGAATGGAAAGGAGAGATTTAAGGTAAGATAATGATTTCTTACAATAGCAAAACCTGCGTTGTAAAAGGGGTACTTAGGTTTGAGAAATGCATTGCATTAGGGACACCTCATTGTTGCTTCTGAAATCATACTTTTCTGGTTGGTCACATCTTTGACTGTCTTTATATCCCCAACACCTTAGCATTCTTCTTTTGCAGCTCTATGAATATGCTAACTATGGTGACTTCAAACTACCCCATCTAAGGCCTACTGAACTTCACTATATGCATAAAATATAATCTTATGGAAGTCTGTGCTTGCTTTCCTTGGGGTCTAAGAGTCTCTTGATTGTAGATATTAGTCACAGTGGATACACAAGTGTAGTCCCACACCAGTGGTCTGCCTCTCTTACAGGGATAAATTGTAATCCCATCAGGGTGGTTAGCAGGATTGCTGGGTGCTGGGAATCTGAGTTCTCTCTCAACTGTAGTGAAGCACATCGTGATATTGATTTCCTTTGTCTTAATGGAGAATTAAACACATGTGCAACATCTGGGTATCTTTACTTGTAGATGTTTTGCCATCCACTGGCTTTATCAATACATGAACATACTCTGAAGACTAGAAATATATACAGAAAACAGTGGAAGACGAAGTAATCAGTCCCTGACTTGAGCCACAGGCAGGAAGATTGGTGCTTATATACTTGGCAGATGAGATGCAGCAGATGAATGCATTGTCATGGGTAAGTGGGATTCCCCAGTGGATATAGGTCATGCCCAAAAGTTGGGCCAGGAGTTAGCAAGTAGATTGTGGTGATGTCCTCTGTACCAAGATTCCATGATGTTGCAATGTCTGACAAGTTGCATATCAGTGATATACAATGCCAACCCTTGGCACTTAGTTGACTGTACTGTACTTAGTTAGACTGTACTGATCAGGCTGTGCCTTGCCACAAATACTTACATTCAGTGTGAATTGCAGCAATAAGGTGGTGAGCTACTGCAATACAGAATGTTTTCTGGGTTGAGGATGTGTCCATTGCCCAAATAGAAACTTAAAAGGAGTAATGTGCTCTCACAGCTTTGAGACATTTAGTCTCCCTGTTCGACATTGCAGTCACAAGCATATCTATATACAACGTTTTGGCAGTGGTGCTATGCTAGCTAAATACTTGTAGGCAAGCACCACAACTGATTTTGGTGCTGAAGTCGTGAGTTATGGCTCTATTGAAGCTAGGGTAGTGTACTCCTGTAAAATCACCTAGGTGGTCTGGTTGAATTTGCTTTATTAATTCATTTGATAGGGGAATAAAAACCCAGCAGGGCTATTTGGAAGCTGAGTAAAGGGAAGGAATATGTTGATATTCAGCACAGAGTACAGCATCCCTTTACTGTAACTCTCAGTAAATTAAAAACATTGGCAGAGTTCAATTTAATCAGTGGATTTTGATCTGAATTAGCAATGTATACCTGTTCTGTATGGAGCCTCGCAGCCTTGTTGAATCCCAAACCCAAGTTGAGCTAGTTTCAACATTGTGGTTGACATTGTTCACTCTGTCAGACACTGCAACACAAGGGTATCTTGGTACAGACCTGAAATCAACTTGGACAACTATTACTAGTGAGAATGGCTGGATTTAAGAGGAACCTGACCTCCGAACGACTACATTCTTACCTCTAATAGTGGCCTACATCTCGCCTCCTGGCAGTATATAAGGCTCCATCATGTCACTTCAACTCTATATTGTTTCAGACTATGGAACAATACTCTTCTCCAGACTGAGGGACTGACCACCTCAAAACTTCAAGGGTGATGGACTGATTACATCGTCTTCAAGTCTCTTCTGCTTCTATCAACTTTTCTGTACTTGACTGAAGAAGCCTACTGTGTAGGCGAAACTTTTCGAAATGAAGATACCTAACTGTTGCATATGTGTCTTACCTAACAATTGTGGTTGTATCATGACTTGCAATCCTCACCACAGCACGGGCAACAAGATGCTGCAGGGAGTTACGTACAGTAATAGGTTCGATTCCTCCATCTTTTTTTTTTTTTTAGGACATGGTGATGCACTGAAATGTGAGCCTAATGCCCCCAGGAACACCATAAGATACTTAACTGCTGCATGACTAGGTGACCTGACCTGACTTGGTGGGTCATTAGTTTAAGCCGAGAGGTGACTTGGACCTGCATCACGTGGGTCAGTAGGCCTGCTGCAGTGTTTCTTCTTTCTTATGTTCTTATGCATCAGGCTGCACTATCACTGTCATATCTTAATAGATTTTCCTGTCTATCATTAGACACACAGGATTAATCTGTGACTACTACACTGTCTCAGCACACTTGTGACTACTACACTGTCTCAGCACACTTGTGACTACACTGTCCCAACACACTTGTGACTACTACACTGTCTCAGCACATGTGACTACTACACTGTCTCAGCACACTTGTGACTACTACACTGTCCCAGCACACTTGTGACTACTACACTGTCCCAACACACTTGTGACTACTACACTGTCCCAGCACACTTGTGACTACTACACTGTCCCAACACACTTGTGACTACTACACTGTCCCAACACACTTGTGACTACTACACTGTCC